TACTAGCTGATTGATAAGGTGTAATATTTGCTGAATGATAACGTGGTATATTTTTTGGACTAGATGTTGTAATATTAGTTGGATGATACGATGTAATATTTGCTGGAGGATAAGGCGTTATGTTTGCTGAACTAGATGATTTATTACTAGCTGAATGATAAGATGTTATGTTTGCTGGATGATAAGTCCTAATATTAGATGGTGTAAAAGTGGTTGAATTATATAATCCATTATTCGATGTATTTATCGGTTGAATATTTGTTGATGGATAAGGTTCTATATTTTTTATATTGATCTGAGAGATAGTTTGTGGATTATAGAGTGCATTAGTCATTGTAGTATATTGTGATGTAACAGGTAGTGATGGTTGCATAATAGCATTATTGGAAGGTAATGATGTTGGTTGTATTTGTGAAAGTGTAAGTCGTTGTACAAGATCTTGAACTTGTTGCATAAATGGACCTGGTGCAATTGTTAATGATGATGATGGTGTTCTGACGTTTGTTGGTACATTGATTAATTGTGATTGTGCAGGAATTGGAACTGCAGGTTGAATATTTGCGATTTCACGAGCATTTATTGTAGAATTGGAATGAATAATCGATAGAGTTTCATCACTAGGATTATTTATTTCAGCAGGATATACAATCGTATCAAGTTTTGTACTAGCATTAGTTTGACTATCTGGCAGATGTATAGGTGGTAAATAAACAATTTGTTTTGGTAAATTTTCAATCATCTCTGCAGTTAGATTTGAAAATAATGCTAATGGATCAACAGAATTGTTAGCATATGTTATAAGTGATGATTGAGCTGGCGGCAAGCACGGATTAGATATTGGATTGGCAATTATGATATTTTGTTGCGGTTGTAGTAGTAGTGGTGATGGTGATGGATCATCATATTCAATTCCATAACATGATGAGTGACGTTTTCGATGTCGATGACGTCGAACACGTTCAATTTCTAACACTCGTTTTGGAGGTTCACACAAACCAAGTGTTGGCTGATAATCGAGTGGAATTGTAACTATTCGATGTCGTCCTGATGATTGATGATGACGATGTCGCCGTTCAATGACAATGTCTGGTGTGATTGGTCTTTGTCTACGTTTACGACGCCTTATTGGAGAAGTGGTTGATGTGAAAGATAATTGTGGTTGCGGTGCTACCATTGAAGATACTATATGGGATTGTTGACTTGACCAAGACCTGGGAGGTATAATAGGTCGTGGTGGAGGTGAAACATTTGTCCAAGGTACATTATATAATGCTACTCTTGACCAAGGTCCATAATCACCCAGCATAGTTGATGCACTTCCATCGTAACCATCATTCGAAATGATTCTTGATGACAACATTTTTCTAGTATTCTTTATAAAAATAGATGCTAGTGCACAACGTCATTTTTTTTTTGCAATTGAATATTTTTTCTTGTCTGCAATTATGAACGATGTACATCATTTTAGGTAGCTGCACATGCATGACAAGGCTATTGCCGTTCGTTTTTTTTTTCTCACATCATCAGACAAAAACCTTCAATAAAAAAATCATTTAAGGCAATGAACAAAAAGGACAAATTGGTAGGCAATGTGTGACAGGTTACGCCACTTGAATAAAATTTTTTCTATTGTGTATCTATTTAAGGTATACCAAAAGTAATGACGAAGGTATTTTAGTTCCTTATAGAACACTTAAAGAAATTTTTGCTCTATATGATCTCATAAAAAAAAACCAATGCTCTGTATTTCTCTTATATTTGATCATTCTTCAATTAATATTATAATAGTGAAATTTCAATAAGAGTTGTGTCTTATGATGTGTGATGGTAATATTTGATCACATTTTATTTTTGATATGTATCTTTTTCTTGATATTCTCTTTGTTTTAATGCCTAACCACCTATGGAGTCATCCATAAATCATGAACTTGTTTATAATACGATGCAACGATTTAAAATTGCTTAGTTTTTGTTTGATTAAGTTGAATAACTAAAAACTACATAATGCTAGATCCAGAAAATTACTGAAATAAAAACTTAATGAACTTATTTTTCATATTTCTTTTTTGTTCTATTAGACTTTTTATAAGAAATTAAAATATCTCCACCACTACTTTTGTTATGTCCTAAGAAGATCTTTCTATAGTATACAAAAATATGGTTTTGTGTTTTATTCAATATTTCAAATTATTTTTACAATTTAAAAGTTCAAAAATCGAGAAAAAAATAGAATAAAATAAAAACGTTTAAAATATAAAATATTGAATACAACATTAACTGAAAATTCTCTTCAATATTCAATTCAGTTATCATTAAAATATTAAATATCTATACACAATATTAAATTATAATGATAATAAAAACATATAATTATTAATCAATATTTTTTTTCTTTTGCATTATAAATAGCTGGCAATCGAAATGAACACATTAAACGATCCCAAAATGTAAAAAACTGTCCATAATTACAATCATAATATTGATGATGATCAGTATGATGTGCTGCACCATTAATTATTGATTGAAATAATTTTGGTACTGAATAATTTCCATCATGTATACTAACTGTCCAAAAATTAACAAACATAAAAAAAAATAAATAAGCTAATTTATGTAATGGAAATAAAAATACATATAAATGATATGGTGAACTTTGAAGAAAACCATCTAACCATTGAAATGCATGACTTGCAAAAGGTGTTGGAATAATCCAACGATGATGTAACTTATGTACATATTTATAAATAAGACGATGATGTAAACCACGATGAATAAAATAAATTAACATATCCGTAAAAAATAAAAAACTACCAAATTCTTTTAAAAATGGAATAATACCTATTAGAAAATAAAATAAAATAAAAAACAAACAAACAAACAATTAAATTTATTATTTACCATAAGAACGTTGTGAACTATCATATAATTTTGAATAACCACGTACTTCAAGTAAAAAAGTGGCTATAGTTGGAATACTCATAAATGGAATGTTTTGAAGTGTAGCTATGATTTCTTGCCGAATTTGATTCTAGAAACAATCATTTATTAATATCAAAATAGAAAAAAAAAAGTTCAGATCATCAATTAAACTTACTTTAAGAAATAATGGATGATTCATTTGTTGTTTATCGTATAAAAAGAAATAGCTAAAACCAGCCAAAATAAAATACAAAATAACTGCATGAACATTAATCAATACAGTTAATGAAATTAATTGTCGAATAATATCATCTTCAGGCCAACCTTCCGTTGGATAGACATATGGTGTTAAAAGCCATCGATCATAAATATTTAAAACAATATCCATATTATGTTTGAATTAAACTCGACAGGTACCAAAAGAAAAGAAGAAAACTCATGTGTTCTTCAAAAAAATTTTTTTTTGTGTTTGAAAAATGTTCTTGTCGTTTATCTAGCAAAAACAAAAGACATACGAACGTTCGTCGAACATTCTTTTCTTTATAAAGTTTAAAGATCAACTATTGGTCACACCACCATTTTCTTCATTGTTTTTTTCTTTTTCATTTATCACAAACAGTGAATATAAAAAGACACAAATGAAGAAAGAAAAAAAAAACATCTAACAAGAAGAGCAAAAAAAACAGCAGAACTTTGTTTATTCATCACCGCCATTTTCATCATCATCATCGTCCAACTAAAATAAATATATATTATAAAAAAATTAAATAATAATAAATCTATTCATTATTCTTCAATTTTAATCAACTGAAATAAATAAATAAGCAAAAATATACCTTCCCAGAGCTTTCCTGTTGCTGCTGCAAGAGATACAATCCTCGACCGACGCCAGTATATGCTCCCGGAGGATAAAATGGTAAAAGTCGATCAAAATGATGACATGGTAAAAATGAAAGCCATTTGAACATACTGAGATTTTATAAGTCAAGGAACAACATAACACGAATGAAACGTTTTTTTTTTTTTGTTTCTCTTTATTACTAATCCTCATATATTCGAAAAAAATTCTTTTGAATTATTATATAAAATACATACCTCATTCATTAAAGTATTATCGAGTATTTTTTGCACAAAAGGTAAATGACGTAGACGTCCGAGTAATGTGGGAATAATATAAGTAACAATCGAGAAATATGGACTGGTATGTTCATAGCGTGAAAGCATCGGACCGAAAAAAAGCCATGAAAACATACTGTGTTAAAAGAGAGTTAAGGAGAACAAAAAAGACGGACTGCGGGTATATACATATATATATATATGTGAATGTGTTTTATTTTTCGTTCGAGTAGACAAGATTAATTTGAAAAATCATTCTTACCGTTGAATTTATTTTTGTTCTAACTTTTTGAAAGACAATCTGATAGGGAAATGAAAGACGCCAATCGATCTCACTATTCATTGAAGAAAATGAATGAACAATTAATCGCTCCAAATAGGCCAACATACTGATTCACGGGAAGGAAAAAAAAGTCAAGGAAATACAAAAAGACCTGAACTATTAAAAACTCTGTTAAAAATTGCTTTATATATATATATATAAAAAGGATACGATTTATCGGTGATTTCTTTTTTGATGATGTGTGGAATAATAATATCTTCTTTAAATTTTTTTATTTCAGTCTAGAAACAACAAACAAGACATATTTTATTAAAATTTCTAATAATTAAAAAACAAAACATACTTCAGCTTGTTCCCATGTTAATGCTTCATGTTGACCATCTTTTCCAAATTTTTTATCATATCGATCATAATGAAGCTAAAAAAAAACATATTAAAGATTTTACTTTGGAGAATAAATATTAGAAATTTACTTTTTCAAGTACAAGACCAAGTGGTGGTGCTTTTGGTACATCAATCTAGAAATATATTTACAACATATTGTAATACAAAAATTTCATAGATTTTTTAATTTTCATTTTGAATTCTTCTATAATCTACATATCATTTTAAGTTTTGAGAATTTCATTATGAGAATGGTTCTACTCGGATTATTCAACAACGTAGTTATCAGAAGTCGTTTTTCTACGAAAATAGATCAGATGATTTGGTTATTTGTATTAAAAAGAACTCGTGCGAAGACATAAACATCATATCCAATCAAAGGTCTTGATGTGGAATGGTAGTGGAGTGGATGATTATCCTCCTCCCACTTTTAAGGTCATGTCTACGAAAATTTTGAGATGTTGTCAAAAAAATGTCTACCAATTTTTTTTATCCCTGTAACTTGTAAAAAAAACAACTGTTCGAATATCCTTTTGCATATTTGTATACGCTTTCCTATATAAGTTTATGGTGTATGTGAGATAATTACATTTCAAAGATATGAAGTAGTTCAATAGGAAGAAAAATACTTCTATCTTTCGGCTATCTTGTAGTATACGGTGCTGCCTAGCGACCGACTCATTTCAATCGCTTGAGCTCTTCATACACACTGATTAATCACATACCGGGCGCGAGAGCAGGTGTATGTCGCAACATAATCAGCATGTTATCGGACAAGGAATCCGAGACAAATAGTAGTCAGTGACTTGTCCAAGGTCATTCCATAATTGGCGATACCGACGTTTGAACACAAAGTAGTTCAATAAACATCATTACCGAAGATAGTGATAAAGTTCTCTTCCAATTTATCATTACAGAATGTCTTGTAAACGTATATGAGTACGACTCAATGTACCAAGACAAAAAAGTTCCGTTTATACCCAAGCTCTATCTAAAATCTACGATGCAGATATAATGTATACCGTGAAAATCGCGATTTTGACAGAGCAATCGTCAATTAATTGACGATTTCATGACAACAAGAATGGTTGATTAATTCCGTAGAGCATTTTATTTGATATTTTGTATTTTTAAATATTAAAGTAAGCAGTCTCCAATAAGAATGACTTCAAAACTAATTTTAGAATTAGATAGTTTTTTTTTACATTCTGAAGATTCGTACCAAAATATTCATTTCAGCTAATACAGAACTAAGGAAGATAATCCTCTATTTGTTGTACATTCGAATAATCTCATTTTACTGCAAAAGTTATTCAAGATTGTGCAGTAGGATGTTAGATGTAAGGCATGATTTTTTTTATCTTCAAGGGTGAAGAAAAAAAAATATTTTATTAAACCTCTGTGAATCAACAAAAAATCAAAATATTTTAGAAAAGATTCGACATCAAGTTCATAATCGTCAAGGAAAAAACTGAATAATACAGTAAGTGATACTTATATCTATCTAAATTTCTCGACAAGCTTTTCTTTTCCCAGTATTATCTTTGACAAATATCATGCCATACTCTCTTTGATACTTTTAGTATAGATTGTAAAACTTCATGATCATCATTACCATATACATGCGACTTATCACATATCAAACTGATGATAATCGTTAGTCAATACAACTATCGGAAAGCATTTGAGTAGAACATAAATTATAATTCATTAATGAATCGCGATTTTCACTACATAGGAAGCCAGTAATATCTTTAGAAAGGTTTTTTGACTGTTAAATGACATTCTTTAACATCAAGATACATAAGAGATAGAACGATGATCTATTACTTTTGTCTTGTTGTCTAGATTTTAGTTTAGATATATATTTACTTTATCAGCATTGTATGCTTGTTGAATTGTATCTCGACTAGCAATACCACGAACAATAGCAATAATGAGACCTAAAATAAAAATATTATTTCGAAAAAAAAAAAATTCTTCTATTCAATCAAGATTTCTTTGAAATTTACTAATCATTTTTCGTATTTGATGTAACATAAAACTTTGACCTTTAATTGTAATTATAGTAAATTCAACATTTTCTTCTATAAATGGATCAGCAATCTAAAAAAAAAAAAAGAATAATAATTTATTCGAATTAGAAATTTAATTTACATTAATTGAAAAAATATGTCGTCGAGCTGATGGATCCGTAAATTTTTTACCAGATGTAAAATTATGAAAATTATGTGAACCAAGATATTCATTTGATACATCTTTTATTAATTGTAAAATTTCAGCTAAAAATTAAAAAACAAAAAAAGATAAATATGATTTTCATTAGCGCCAAAACAAAAAAAAAAAAGAAATAATCGAATTAAATCATCCTAAAGATATAAACAATGTTAATATCAAAAAAATTTCATCAAATAGATTCAATTTTTCTTATCTATTCTATTTGGTGGTCAATTATTATTATTATTACATTAATAACATTGATTCTATCAATTTTATGTATAAATCAATGTCAAAATGAATATATTTTACCATATGTTCTTCTTGAACATAGTTGTTTTACATTATTAATTATTATTCTTCTTTGTTATTTACGACATGGAAATGATAATCAATATATTAATTATTTATCTGTTATAATATTTTCTATTTATTTTATTTCATTTGTTTTTACAACTATATTTACATTTCGTCGAATTAAATATGTAACATATCATAGAAATAATTCTAAAACATATTGTTTATCTTATTGTTATTATATAGGTATTATTTTTTTTTCTATACAAATTATTACAATTATTCTTCAACTTCCACTTGTTTGTTTTATTTTAATATTAAGTGCTAAGAATTCATATGATAGAATTCAATTAAAAAAAATGAATATTTCAATAAATGATATACATACATGTAACTCGATATGATTCACTAGTAATCTAAAAAATTTTATGAATAAGTTAAATTAATTTTTTTTTGTTTTTTTTTTTCTTATATATCAATATCAAACCTCTTCAATAGGACAAAATGCATAAGTTGGTAAAATATAAATATATGTTCGTGCATCACAACTATTTTTGCTATTAAAACTAGCAGCAACACGTTTAACACCTAGAAATAAAATAATCAAAAAGTGTAATTACGAAAAGAGTAAAAACTACAGTGTGTTGCAAAAGTTTTTTTTTTTCGTATATTTTTACTATTCAATTTAACTTTATCAACTAATGAGTTGTTCAATACATAGGAGATCGCTAGAGTGAATCATAGGTCTATTCACCAAGTTTTATTTATACGAGTTAACTAGGAAAGCGCCTATCAAAGTAATCATTTCTAACTGAAATATAAAAATTTCATCTTTTTTTCTGTGTCTCATTTTCTTGGATCATATTCACACGCTCACTCTCTGTATTGGCTAATAAACATAGTTAAAGTATTTGAACTCAAAATGATCCATATGCTACTTCGAGATTTCAATGCACTCACTAAAACAACTTACTGTTTGATGTGTTGTGCTCAAGCAAACTAATTATTGGATCTTGTTTTGATGATCGAACAATATATTAACAAAATAGCCTTGACATGCACCAAAGCTTCTTTTAATTGATTTTATAGAAAAGAAAAAAGTGATTTTCCAAAAACATAAGGTATCAGTGCATAACTCGAAGACAATTTTCTTCTTACTAGCCGGTAAGTTTGATAATCAGTCATTTAGAAGAGATGCATCGATCTCATAAGCGTGACAATTATTAGACTTAATAACATTGAATTTCTTTTTATGAGAACATATCAAAACAAATGTCTATTAAAGATCAGAGTAATTAAAAATGAATCATTGTATAATATTTTTCTATATATAGAGAAAATTACTAAAATTTTTTTGTATATCACTTGGAGATGATAACCTTGAAGAGTATTTTTTCAAGTATTTCTCGTATAGATAAGAACTCGATATTTAGACTTAGCATTTTAAAAAAAAGCCTTAGTTGAATCGAATAGTAACGATATATCGAAAAATCTTGTGAAATACACTATAGATTTAATTTACCAAACATTCGTATTTGTTTAGGTAATTGTTCATTAACAAGTTCAGTAAGATTTTCTAATGGAGATAATTTTAATGAAACAAGATTAGCTACAGCTGAAACACCTTTATCAGTTCGTGCTGCTCGTTGAAATGCCATCTAAATAGAGAAAATAAATCATATCTTATTAATATAAAGAAAAAAAGAAAAAGAAAGCAGAGAAATCTATTCAAATCTCATCTTATTTTGATTTCTCTTTTTTTTTATTAAATATGAAAAAAACATACTTTTGACATATCATCAGCATGTGCTTGCGGTATCGCATCAACTTTAACAAGTGCTTCAACTAATTCATCTTCAATTGTTCGATGTACTTTATCTTTTGCATTACTTTGAAAAATAAAAATAAATTAATATCAAAAATTCATTATAATTTTTACCGTTGAAGACCAAAGTAACCAGCACCTTAATAAAAAGATGAAAGGATAAAATCAAATTGTTTATTAAACATACCACAATAACCAAATGAAACACAAACTTTTCGTTTTTTGAGTGGTCGTGGTCGAATTTGAGTTGTTGTTGTTGTTGTTTGCGTTGTAACTGAAGTTTCGACCTAAAAAACAAATATCAATATAAAAAGAATAGTTTGAAAAAACAAACAAAAAAGAAGAAAATACTTCAACTTCAGTATCATCTTTAAATTTCTTTTTTGATGGTTCACTATCATCAGCATCAATTGATTCTTCTTTTTGCTCAGTAATTGTACGTGTACTTTCTTGAATTACTGTTGAAGCTGTTGTAACAACTGCTTTAAGAATTGTTTGTGCTGATGATCGAGTTGGACTCAACATTATCTAAATTTTGTCTTTAAAATACAAATATATCAATCTTCTATGCACAAATACAATAAAAAAAGAATATTCTATGCTATAAAGACATTAGATGATATATTTTATTATCAGTATGTATGGCATTTAATGATCTACGTTTACAATTGTTGTCTTAATATTAAGATCATTCATTTAATTTTAAAATAAATGATGATTTATGAAACCTGATGAAATACATATTGTAATATTTCTTAAGTATAGCATTTGAAAAAAGAAAAAATATAATTGGTTGAATCAAATATCAATCGAATTCTTATTATTTAACATACCGAAAATATTATCAGTAATGTTCTGCCCTCTGTATTTTATCAATATAAATCATAAATGATCGCAAGAATTTATTCATGTTTTAACAAAATGAATGGAATGAAAAAGTTCCAAACTTTTCATAAGTTCAATGATACATTCTCTAATAAAAACAAAATAATAGATCAATAATATAAACAGGAGTATCCCAAGGTCGTCAGGATTAGAAAGTGCAGTGTGCATCTAAGAGAGACATTTGACGAAAAATGAAAATTATACTTTTTCAAGATTTAAATATAGGGAAATATATTTCGAAATATAGTCTATCTAATAGTATAAGTAACTTTGTTACAACTCTCAAAGAAGCTGAAAAAGCAGTTGCCTAAATATTAGCCTGAAAATCGTGATATCACCAAGAAAATTGATATTTGAGAAAATTAAACTGTTCAACAAACAAATGAAGTACATTTTCTGAATCTCGAAACCGAGCTCTTTATAATAGTAAAAAACATTTTTTAATTTGACCGTTTAACTTCTGAGAAAAAAAGCGGCTAGCCCTGTAAAATGACCAATCCATCCACATTTAACCGCCAAAATTTGCCAAAATGTTCTTCTATCGACTGTTTCTAATTCCTGCTATTGCAAACATTCGTGGATTACACAGTAGATTTGTCAGATATTTTCCAAATTTTCTGACTTTGAAACAATATTTAATCGACAAAAAAGCATATTCAAAATTAGCACATGAAAATGCGTCGAATGACATATAAAACAAAATAATTTTGAAGATAAAAGTTTTCTCAAAAAAAATGAAGGTAAGGGTTCCCGTCAGGTATTTTTCGTCAAAAAAATATTTTTTTTGCTTAAAAATGCCTGTCTGCATCATATCTAATCATTTCTGAGCAAAGAAATCCGTTCTCAACCAAATTTTCTCTATTTCTGGTTTTTTTCATGGATCCTTTCTTAATTGTCTTTTGTACATTATAGTGAATGTCTAACCCATTTTTTTTGTAATACAAAATTAATGGACTATGAAGAAAAACACTTCTAAAAAAATGACTTCCTCCATATCATTGTTGTGTGAATAATGCGTTTTTTTTTTGTCTCAGAAATCGAAGTAGTCACTCTTCAATTGTTTATGAACGTGTAATATGCAAAAGATTCATCAAATAAATGCTAATGTTTCTTGTCGTTAGCTTATTGCTCTCCATTCATCTAAGTATGCAAGATCAGTCAGTTGCTTTTATCAGTAGCCTAGACTGGAGGTTTATTTCTTTCGACACTTATCTTTTTTCCACTGCTCACTTGTACGATGAAAAGTCTGTTACACTATCAGTTTCAGTGTAACAAGCTTTTAGCTTGTCAGACGTATGACTTTGATGGTGATTTGTGACAGCGTCCCTTATCGAAGGCCGATGAGACAATGGGTTCTATTGTTTCCACACTTTTAAATCCTTGATCATATGTCAACATCATTCACCTCTCACACAATATTTACGCAAATATTTACAATCATCCGTGTGACAGTCGATATGAAGTGTTTGATCCGAACACATCTTCACTTGCCAGTATCCTCCGAATACATTTTGAAATGATTCTATGTGTCTGATACAACTGTTTCAAGGTTAGATTTGTTCGCAGGCGAACGCTTATCGATTAGATCTCAATGTTACGTGTCGATATTGACTTGGTTGTAAACCTAATTTTAAATATATCAATTTCAGATATGAATGTTGATTCGTTGTAAATTGTTTGACAAATAATTTTTGCTGAATAAATTTTAAATGTAAGTAAGACGAAATATGATATCAAGGAAAGATGTATTCACAAAATCTCTGTTAGTCTTGGTTTTAAATTACAAACAGCATGGACATATATTGGTGTTCTTTTGCATCGAAATTGAGAATACCACTTCGTTGTTCAAATTCAATACGTTATCTGTATTGATCGTTTTGAATTAAATCAATAATGATCGTCATAATCCTATGCGTATTAGTAATAAGAGTAGATGCTTGTTATAGATATTTATTAAATTTAGTTTCAATCTATTTCAATTGTCGTTGATATTTTCATTCCACACTGTTCAATTACTGCTTTGAATCAACTATATGTATAGCAGATCGAATTAACTGTATCCATTATTTTTGAGACTCGTTCACTCCAGATATCTTCTATCATATTAATATGATAATAGTATATTCGTTGTTCCACTTGTAATTATAAATAATTCATTTTATTCTTTAACTGTGTAAGTTGATGAGTGAATATCAATATTTCTTCATTATTCAATAAGTGAACAAATGAATTTTTGTTAGTATCTGATGATGTTGCTAATAACATTTTTTTTAAAGACTATATTCAATATCATAGAATAGGGTGAGTGTGTAGATATAGAGGTGAAGATGGGAGTGAGTATGAGAAGAACATCCATACTCCTATTTTTATGTTATTTTTAAGAACGAATATTATTAAATTATTTGTGTATGAAAAAAAGTAAAATAACAAAAAATCTAAGAACAATAATACTTTTTTAAAATTTTCATCTTTAATAATTGAAAGTATTCTTTATAAACATTATGTCTCAAATATACATCACAAATTACAGAACTTTAAAAAAATATTGTGATACACTTGAAAATTTTAAGAAGAATTTTTATTAAAAGATCCTTCATGAGCTTTTTTTTTTGTTTTTCGTTGTAATAAATTGATCTAAAGGATATCTTAAAAGGATTATATATTACAGATGGTACAACTGTTCTGCATTAATTTTGCTTTCAATATAGCGTGACAATAACTCGTTATACAGGGTTAATAATTTCCTTATTAGAGAGAGAGAGAGAGAGAGAGAAAGAGAAAGAAAACTGTTTACTAGAAATCTATTTAAAAATATTTGGTTCAAAGTATTACCCAAGGTTACAATGTTTTAAGAGCATGTTTGATTGAAAAAATGCAGTGCTACTTCACATAAAATCATTGATGAGAAGTACATTTAATCGTTGAGTCTTACACTCGATTATTAAAATTTTTAGGTATATTATACGTAAGTGTAACTAATGTGATGTAGACTTTCTAATAGTATCAAAATATTCGAGTTCCATAAGAAATACTTTTATTGAAAACTTGATTTGTCCTTCGACAATATCAAATGAAGTATTTTTTATAATGTCGAATAGAAAAATTCTATTTTGTTTTCTATAATGTGCTTTTGTCAAGGACTCACTAAACTTCTATTGTAGCGCTACAAAGCCAAATAAAAGCCAGGAAATATGAATAACTGTCTTAGTAGATGAATAGTTTCTTCTAAATTTCAGAAATGTGTAGAAAATTTTTCAAGTCAAACATGTCCTTGAAACTTTTCGACCTGTAGTATGTATTTTTGAATCATATATTTTTACATAACTTTATAATAGAGACTTTACTCTTTCTAACAAGGTAACTGTTCAATCTTCACAATGAGTTGTTGTCACGCTATATTGAAAGCAAAATAAATGCAACACCCTTCATCATCCATTAGTCTATAAATTTTTTTTCACTTTTCCATCCTTTACTAAGTTTAATTATTTCCATCATGTTATCAAAAACTTTCTTCTATCAATGTCCTGTAACACAGTGCGTATTCTTCAGTAAACTTAAATGAGTTTTATTACTTTTAATGCCTGTCAATTGAACAGTGACATCAACAATAGAATATTTTCTTTGAAATATTTTTCATAATGAATATTATTTTGTCATATTCAGAATAATCTTCAATTTTCATCTCATAATCAAATTCATTTCGTTACTCTTGAGATAGCTATTCCCGAAATATGATCGTTTAAAGATCGAGAGTAAAAGTAAGTTGTAGAGATGTGTGGGACCAAGTTTTTTGGTTCGGATGCCAGTATAGAAAAAGCTATTCGAGTATTTATTCGTATTGCATCTAAAAACAAAAAATCTTCACACTTAAAACCATAGAATATTTAACTATAACTTATAATTTCGATTGGAACAACTTTTTTCTGGTAGTTGCAGTTGTGCACATTTCTAGTGAGAACATCTAATTTTGATATATTTATAGATTTTTTTCTAAAGTAAATGTTATGAATTTACTATATAAATATTAGACTTAACAATATAGTGTAAACTATTAATTGAAAACAAAATTTGAAAATATAATATTGAATTAAGAATATTTTCTTTCATAACACAAAATGAGTTGATTCAAATCTATGACATTCTCATAGAAAGATGTCGTTATTATACAAAAAAAAACCGGTATTAATCCATTAGGATATTTTTTTTCACCAATCAAACAAAAACCGCCCTATTTCTTTGTGTTTTCATATAGTCTCATGAATCATTATGCCAAAAACAAGCTCGAGTAGTGTAATCGTCAGATTTTCTGTTTCACATAACAACTGATATATATATACATATATATAAATATTTATATATATCTATAAAAATCTAAGAAAAAAAAAAAAGACAAAACAGTGATGTCTTCATCTTGTTGTCATTCACAAGAAACGAACAGTCAGATTCATCGTCAATCTGTTAGTTCAACAACATCTGATGATGATGAAGATTTTATTGATGATGATGATGATGATCAATCAAATGATCATACAATTGAATCTAGAGAAAAACATTCAATAAATAATAATAAAAATAAAAAAACATTAGGTCGTGTTAAAATAAAAATGGCATATATTGATAATAAAATTCGACGATATACAACATTTTCTAAACGTAAAACAGGTATTATGAAAAAAGCATATGAATTAGCTACATTAACAGGTACTGAAGTTATGTTACTTGTTGCTTCTGAAACTGGTAAGATTTATTAACAAGAAAAGAAAAAAGTTAATAGAAATTTTTTATTTAGGTCATGTTTATACATATGCAACAGCTAAATTACAACCAATGATAACAAGTGAAGCAGGTAAAGCACTTATACAAACATGTTTAGCAAAAGATGAACCTATTATTGAACAAATTGTTGATACTCCAACAATAACAACATTAAATAATAATGATGTTATATTCATTGATGAAAATCAACGAAAAAAACGTTTACATACATCCATAGATAGTAAATATAAATTATTTAATTTAATAATTAATGTTATTAATTTCCTAATTAAATAGATCAATCTATAAATGTATCAAATGGAAATCATCCTATAAAACGTGCTAAATTATCATCATTAAATAAAATAAAATTAATTAATACTTCAAATTCACATATATTTCCTACACCATCCCAAACAACAACATTAACATTACCATATCTTATTCAATCAGGTTCTCAACAACAACAACAACAACAACAACAGCAACAAACTAATATTCCTTTATCATATACAATTGATTTAAATACTTTAAAAAATAATGGTATGAATATTATATTTTCACCTTCGACATCGAATACATCTGAATCATCACTTCCGTCCAATAGTCCTCTTGTTTTAACACTTAACAATTTTTCATATCAATCAAGTTAACAAGGTTAACATATTTTATTCATTTTCTTTGTGGTTTTTCTTTTTTCTTCTTTTATTGTATATAAGATATTAATACGCAGACATATACATATAGAAAAAAAAGTACGTGATCATTATTGGCCATAATAAAACAAAGTTACTTGTAAGACATTTTTGTTTCTTTTTCTGTCTTTCTCTCCTATTTGTTCTACGATGCCGATTTCGATCGGTATGTAAAATCTATAACAAAAGAACTCTAATCTTCTTGCTGAGATTTTTCATTTTTTTTTTCTTTTTTGAGATGAACAAAAAAAAGAGAAAGAGAGAGAGAGAGAGAGAGAGAGAGAGAGAGAGAGAGAGAGAAAGCTGAGTGAATAAGTGTTACAAACAAAAAAAAAGAAATTGTTGAAGTAGAATGGAAACGAAAAACAAAACAAAACATACACAAATACATTATATTGTTTTGCGCACAAATAGACTAATGGACACATGGCATACATTTTGTTTGTCTTGACAATATTTTGAAGAAATATAAGAGTAATCGAGAGAAATATATAGAGTTTAGTTTTTTTTTTCTTTTTTGAAAAAGATATATAATAGATTAATTATTGGTTTAGACCGTTGTTTTCTCAATATTCGGAAATCTATTATAAATAGAGTTTTGATTTGTAAATTAAAATACATATCAATATTCATTTATGTTTCTTTTTCTTTCTTTCTTTTTCTTTTTTTTTTTGTAAATTTTTCCTATGTCTTCATATTTTTGATTAATCGAAGTATTTACATTTGCATTTTTTGAAAAAGGTGAAACGAGATCAATAACTCATCTCATACACATCATCAGCTTATATACTTTATTTCATATTCTAGATCAAATTACTTTATTAAGATACGTTTTCTTTATCATTTATCTGTTCTTTCTTTTGTGTCGAACTGTATATATATATATATTCTTTTGCATTTTTTGAAATATAACAAAAAAAAAAAAATGACCGATTCTTCTATTCATCGATCATTTGATATGAACAAAGTTCTTTCTTTTTTTTTTTCTTTTCATTTGAATTTTTAATATATAAAATAAGTTTCTTTTTCTTTTTTCTTTTTCAATGTCCTTCGTATCTAAGAATACAGTATTTATTGTTATTCTTCAACATGGACATGAGAATCCAGATAAGTTTCTAGTAGAGGTCGGATTTTTCTTCTTTCTTTTTTTTTCTTCTCTTGTAGATATTAAAAAATTCTTTTTTATTTTATTTATTGGATGAGTAAGAAAAAAAACGAATAGAATGACATTCCGGTGAACAATTATACATTCTTCTTATATTTAAAATAATGTATTCAAATAATATGGCATTGTCGACTTATGGCACTGAATTACCATTTCGTCAAAGTGTTGCCAAATTTCCATCGGAACGAACAGCTCAGGTTAGTTTATTAAACACACAAAAAAAAAAGAAATAGATTTTATATTATTAGTTCTAATTTAAACATTAATAAGATAAATCTTTTTTTTCCTCTTTTTTGTTTTTGTCTTTTGTATTGATAACTATAGAAGAATCATTTATGATTTGCCGTCAGTCATAGTATCGTTATTTATATACTAATGATTAATTTATATCTTCAATCTCATATATATATATATATATATATATCAATATATATGTTGTTATTCTCAGCTGGAGGCTGTTAGATCTGATTAAACAGACATGTTCACCCTTTTCAACTTTGCCCGACATGTGTATAGAAATCTGACGTAATATATCATCATTGTCGATCATGATTCGAAGCATTATTATTATTATTATAGTCTATATTGTTCCGTTATTATGTAAATTAAATAAAAAAAAAAAGAAAGAAAGACTACTTTATATGCTTTGTCTTGTTTCTGTACTAAAAAAAATAAAAGAGTAACACATCGTTGAACATAAACGAGTGCAACAACTGTTCTTTCATCGTTTATACAGTAGAAAAAAAAAAAAAAGAAGAAGGAGAAGAAGACAGAAGATAAGAAAAAAATAACGAAGACCGCTTGCTGTTCCTTTCCTTTCTTTGTGCTGTCTATTCTTCGATTCTATCGACTGACATCGCCACCACCATCCGAGATGATTGCTAACTTATATTGAGAACTATATGGTTAATCATCAGAATTGGGACACATACATATTAGGAGTAGAGGAAAGAAAGAAAGAAAGAAAAGAAAGAAGCAGAGATGAAATCGATTTGCTATATGTTCATATACAGGAGTGCACATACATCTATATATACATACTCTTTCGTCCACTGTCCATACATAGGTACAGATTTCTTTTTTTTTTTTTTTTTTTACTTTGCTTTTTCCTTTTTCTCTCTTTCTTAGCGGTCAGCTTTGAAAGTTCAATTTTGAAAATATTCTAAAGAAAGAAGGAAAAGAGAAAGTCACTTTTACCTTTTCATTTTTCTTTTTTTTGCCATTTGTTCAAGAGAAGAAATTGAACAGTGTTCTCTTTATATGTACATTATTTCTTTTATTTCTCTAATTTAGGATTTAACTATAATTAATGGTTATTTAAAAAATTTGGAAGCATTATCATCATTACGTGAATCACATATTCGTCATTTATGTAAAACAATTCGATATGAAATTCATGATGCTAATCATGTTTTATTCAGGTTTGTTATTATTCTTGTCAATCATTCATTGATTTTTGCGTGTGTACGTGTCTTCTTTACCTTTGTTTTTTCTTGTTTGTTTTCTGTTCATGGGATAACAACATTCATTTTAGTTTGTTATGTCTACAACTTGTTGGTGGTAATACTATCGTATACATACACATTCATCATAATGATTGTACACTTAGGATATCTACCATTCATTGTTGGAATACGGTCACGGTCAATTATCTATCTATCTTTGATGATATATATGCCACGATATACTTTATGTCCAAATAGAGATGTTGCGTCATGTATATGAGATGAAATATATATATGGAGAGATAAATAGCCTTGAATAATGCCATACCAAAGCTGTTAAATCTGATTATGTATTAGCGATAAACATTAGTTTTCCAGTAAAATGTTCATTAATTTCTAATTGATTTTTTTTTATTTTGTGAGTTGTCTGATAACTTGACACTTGGTGGTCTCTGCTCTCATTGTTTTATATTAATATGAAATGAGAAGTGTGATTATTTATTGTAGTGTATGCATGCATATATATATGAAAGCGTTCACAAGAGAGACAAACGACGCAAAGGACATTGAGGTGCATGCAAACATTTACATATATATATATACCAAGAGAGCAGTGATGACAATGTTCACGTTTAATACACATTTTTGTTTCATTCATAATTTGATATTCTTTTTTTTTTAGTCGTGGCGAATTAAATACCTGTTGGTATATTCTTTTATCCGGTTCTGTTTTTATCGAGTCCACAATGTATTTACCAAGAGCCAGGTACGTAAAAAATAAAAAAATAAGCAATTTCTATTTTTTTTTTGTTCTTAATCATGATCTTCGACATTTTTATGTATCCTTTGAGACCAAGGGAGAGAGAGAGAGAGACCAGATCACTTTTTCCTCGTCGTCTTTCATGTTTATTTGTTAACCTTGTTCGTTCTTTTTTTTTCTTTTTTTTTTTTTTTAACCTGCACATACTATTACTACTACTATACTAACATCATCTCACTCATTCTCTCATCACTATACAGCTACTATTGTCCTTGAACAGATCGAGCGACATTTAGTTATATATACATGACATAATCGTTCGTCTTTTTTTTTTTTCTTCTTTTATTTCAACAGTTTTGGTAAACGAACTTCTAGTAATCAATATCGGATCAATGAATGTGTTGTACTTGAATCATCGGAAATGCTTGTTGTAAGTAGATATAACGTGTTATTTCCTTCATCATTAAAAGTAGAAATATGAAACACAAAAAAAAAAAAAAAAAAAAAATGAAAATTACTTTATGTTACACCTTGATACATTTAATGTTATTCATTTCGATCGTTTTTCTTTTTTACTACGTCCTTCTATTTTTTTTTTTCTTTTGCTAATAGATTGATTATCCCGAGCTTGATCACGCTGTCCATAGTCACGAATCATTGAAGCATATCACTGGTAAACATAATTATCAAAACGAACAAGCAATCACTCCCGTTGAAGAACAACAAAGTATTATTATGGATTCAAGTGTAACAATGAAAAATTATCGAAAAATAAATCCACAAACTAAACATGTAAAAAAATTAAATCAAAGGCAAATTTTTTTTTTTTTAAATTTTTTATTTCATAGCGTTCTTTTACAATAAATACAATGAACGATATTCCACCATCAATGATTCGTAGTTCACATTCTCGTGCTAGTGATACATCAAGTGCTTATTCCGGATCAGATGTTATGCAATCATCAACTAATGGTGAAGATCTTTTAATGATAAATAATGGTGAAAATTCTTTAGGACAAAATGATGATGGAGGATTAAGTCGTTGTATAAGTGCCCATGAAACAGATGATGAATCAGAAACATCATCAGAAGTAAGAATATTAATTATTATAAGAAAAACCAAAAAAAAAGAAAGATCGAATATATTTTATTTTATTTTGTAGCATTCATTCCCTATTCATGATCATATACGTGAATCATTATTAAAAGAAGCAAATGAACGTACTGATGATGATATTGAAGCTATTCTAGAATGTCTTCTTCATTTTCCTGTAAGAAATTTTTTCTTTGAATAATAATCTTTAGTGTGAAAAAAAACGGTGTGTTTTTTTTTACAAATAATTTTTTGAACAATGTCGATTTCCATAGAAAACTAGCTTCCAAACTAAGGACTTCGCTAAAAAAAAAATGCTTTTTGAACTTTTTTCAGAAAATTTTTTGTTAGTTGTTTAATCTTACAAGGAAATCTCTTCAAATATCTATGAATTTTTTCATCTATGGATATTACATAGTGTTCTAATAGAAACCCTAAAAAAAAAGGATTTCAGTTCCTATTGAGATTTAATTGAGCTATAGAATTTTCAATAAGACTCAAATTTCGATCTGAAATTTTATGCATATCAATTTTCGCGCTATAAGCTATGTAAGTTTTTGTTTTTGTTTTTCAAAAGGCATTTGCTAATTTAACATTACATGTTCGACGTGAATTATGTAAAGTTCTTGTTTATGCTCAAGTTGAAAAAGCTCAAACTGTTGTTATGAATGATGGTGAACGTTATGATTCTTGGTCAGTTATAATCAATGGTATTGTTGATGATGAAACAATTGATGGACAACTTATACGTACATTAACTGTTGGACAAAGTTTTGGTTGTGGTCCAACACTTGATCAATATTGTCATACGGGTATAATGAAAACACGTGTTGATAATTGTCAATTTGTTGTTGTTGCACAAAATGATTATTATGCTATATTAAATCAAGTAATTTATTATTATTTATTAATTTTTTTTTTGTTTTTGATAATATTGATAAAAATTTTTTTATATTTAAATCTAGGGCGAAAAAAATATTCGAAAAATTGAAGAAGATGGTAAAATTGTTATAATTAAAGAAATACGTATGAATGATGATGAACAAAATATACTACGTGAAATAGTTATAAAAGTATTATTATATTTTCTATTTGCAAAAATTTTCATTGGAAAAAAAAAAAAAAACTTTGTTTCTTTTTATAGGCAACAACTGAAAAATTACTTGATTTACTTGTTGAAGAATTACAATTAATAAATGATCCAAATTATGTTCAAGATTTTCTTTTAACTTATCGAACATTTCTTGATAGTCCAATAATAGTAACAAATAAATTACTTAAATATTTTGATCAATATAAAAATTCAATAATATGTGAACATATTGCACGTGTTGTTTTATCATGGGTTAATAATCATTATAATGATTTTGAAACAAATATAAAATTATATGAATTTCTTGAAATATTTGATGATCGTTTAGAAAATCATGAAATAGAAGTAAATATTTTAAATAAAAAAACCAAATATTTATTTTAGTTTTTTTTTTTTTTTTTTCGTAGCACATTCGATCATGGAGACATTTAATAAATTTAGCTTGTTATACAAAAGCTACTATACGTAATATTACTTTAACAAGATCAACACGAGATGATGTTTTAAATTTTAATATACTTGGAGGAACTGATACACTAGCAAATAATGGAATATTTGTATCGAAAGTTGAAAAAAATTCCAAAGCTTATGAAGCTGGATTAAGAAGAGGTGATCAGGTATGCTACTTTTCATTTTAACGAAAAGTTCATCATTTTAAATTTCATTTCTATAAAATAAAATTTCGATCAATTCATACTAATAACAAATTGTTACAAATATGACGCAATTTTTTCTTTTTTTTTTGTTTTTGAATAGAAAAAAAGTTCCCTTACTAACCATGATTGAATCAGAAGAATGCTTAGAAATGTTGAAATATTGTTATGATAAAGTTCGATTATTATTGACATTGTTAATGGATGCTTTAGAATTTCTAAAGTGGAACCTATTATATCATTTTTATTTTACAGATTCTTAGTGTTAATGGACAATGTTTCGATTATCTAACTCATGCTCGTGCACTTGAAATTCTTCGTTGTACAACTCATTTATCATTAACTGTAAAAAATAATCTTATGGGTAAATTTTTCGAAGTTTAAACATATATAAACAAAAAAAACAAAATATATTCATTTAGGTCTTAATGATATTGTTCATCCTGAAAAATCTCCTGGTCGTAAAAAACGTCAAGATATGTCAAATTATGAACAAGAAATTCAAAATAGATTAAATAATTTATCTCCTTTACGTTCAACAGTAACAACTCCATCACCAAGAAGTCATACATCATCTATATTAATGAATAGTCCATCGGATTCTTATGCTACTGATAATTCATCATCAATAAATCAAATTCGTCCACCATTATTAGCAATAACACCAGCAAAATCTAATCTTTCAACAACATATACAGAAAAAACAAAACCACGTCCATTAACTAAACGTATGGGTTTTAAGCGTGCCGTTATGCAAAGATTTAAAATGACGAAACATAATAAGTAAGAAGTAAAAGAAAACAAAGAAAAAAAAAAATTACATTTTTACAGTTCTATTCGAATTTTTCCATCGACGAAACCATGTATATAAACCAACTATAGAATTAATACATAACATAATCATAACAAGTAATACATTGATATTAAGTTCTGTTCCAAGAAGACCTTGAAAATGGAAACAAAAAAAAATTTTTTTTTTATATATATAAAGTTTTAGAAAAAAAGTTTAACAACAACGTATTTTTGTTTTTCTATAATATTAAGCAAATTTTTCTATCTAATGCATTCTATTGTCAGATTTCTAAAGAACTAAACATGATAGTTTTCAGATTTCAAAAGCTATTTTTTTTAACAATACCATTTCTAAATGACTGATCGCTGCATTTTCTACAACTTTCTTTTACTTTTTCAAAAATGACATTGTTAGAAAATAGCTTATGAGACATGAAAATTATCATATCCGGCTTTTTTAAGAACCCTGCGAAGTCAAATTTTTTCGTCTTCTTTCGAGATTTCTCGGTGATATAAATCAATGAAGGAGTCCACTAGTGTGTTATAAAAGCTGCAAACACGAACTCAGCAAATTGAACATGAAACTTTTATTAGACAATCAAGAATAAAATTAATATATGTATTATTAACCTTGACTCTAGCGAAATTGAAATAATATTTATTATAAATATCTTCAGATGTTTATTTAACAAAATATGTCAGAAACACATTAAGTTTTATCGATTCATGCCTTGTATTTTTTTTCTATTACTAGAGTGTTTTATGTTGTTTTTGCCACATTCAATAATGTGGTCAAAGAAAAAACAAAACATCAAGATTTAATATATCATTAAATCTTTTTTCTCTAGCACACAGTCATTAGACCATATTTAAATGGTAAATCCTATGCACATCCGGTGGGTCAAACTATATCATTAGCATATTAGACAGGCTAGTTTATTTTCTAGAATCGTTTTAGGAGACTGGCAAGTTATAATCACTATCTAAATGTGAGATAATTGCTTCCTTAAAAAAACGATTCCTGAAATTCGAACAATATATTGATGCTTTTTCAAATACGAAAACAAAACCCTAATTTTGGTCTAACTACCAAGGAAGATCCCTATTTCCTAAAGGATATATCGACGCTCTGTTAATTAGTGAACAATCAAAAATCGAAAAAAATTTGTTTTTTACACCCGAAACAGAATAGAACTCCTCTTAACATTCTAGAAAAATATGTTCATTGTTTTTTTACTATATTATTTACCACTATACATAATAATAGATATAATATTCACAATAATCCACATTATATATTGTTCCCAATAACAAAATATAAGTAAAAATTGTCCAATAACACTTAATGTATTTGTTAATGCATCAAGTATATGTGGTAATAACATTGTTTGAAATAAATAATGTGATGTTAAAAGTTTTGAAAAAGCTGGTATTTCATAAAAAAATATAACACCTAAACCTAAACAAAGTATAATAATAAATATCCATCCAAATAATTTTAATGATTTAACATGTGTTGTTGATTGATTATCTAATTCTTTTGACCACATATATATACCAATAAATTGCATTGGTAAAAAAAATAATGTATATAATTGTGCATCACCAACATAACCATATGCAAATGAAAATATTCCATATATAATAGCACCTATAATACCCCAAAAAAATGATGAAATTTTACCACGTATAACTAAAACAACATTAAGTACATTAGTAAATGCTGCAAAACCAGATAAACATAATAAAATACGACGCCATAATGGTACATCATCCATCAAATCATTTGTCCATTTTAATATTGAATATGTTTGTTTATTTGGAAAAAATGAATTAAAATCCTTTTTTTTGAATAAAAGATAAATAAATAATTTCAAAATAAAAAAAAACTTACCAAAATAGAAAAAACTACATTAAATGTAGCAAATAAAATAAGTAGTAAAGCTTGCCACCAATTAAATGATTTTAAATCAGGTACTATAGATTGAAATACAAGTTTTAAATGTTCTATATAACGTTTAAAAAATGATTTTGTTTTCAATATAGTATTATCGGTACTATCATCTTCACTACTAGTAAGATTTACAGTTGATGTTTTTATCATTGATATATTTTCATTTGGAGTATGATTTATATTTCCATTTACATCTGTTAATTCTAATGTTGTAGTACTCATTCGAGCCATTGATATAGGTGGTAATAAAATGGATAATGGTTGTTCTTTAACATTAAACTATAAGAATTAAAAAAGCAAAATTTATTATATAATTTAATTAAAAGTGATTCTGTTTATAGTAGAACTACCGTTAATATCTTTTCTTCTTTATTCATTTCTTGAAGGTAAAATAGAAGTAATACATATGATTTTATAAGAATTAGAAAAATAAAATGTCTATTTTAAGAAACTATTGAAATGAATTTTATTCGCGAATGACGCATTAGCTACACATATTTATATATATATAGTGTTCATATACGAATTTATTCATTACTAAAAGCATTTCTTTTTGACTTTCATCTCTCATTGTCAATTATTTTGCTGATATATGCTAGTAAAACAATCGAAAATGACAGTTGAAAGTAAAAGGGACTACTCTTAACAATATATAAGCTACGATATGATCAATTTTTTTTTTGTATGTATATGCGCGGTCAACAATCAGTTCACGAATAAGGTTCATTTCATAGAAGACAAGCGATAAAAATCTCGATATTTAAAGTAGATATTAATCTATATTAAAATCTATAATACTTCAATTAGAAATACTGATAATCTAAAAAACAAATCTTGAACATAGAATATTCTTTTTTTTGTCTTCTTATAAAGTTCTGTATGAAAACTTAATATTTAAATTGATCAGAGAATTTTGTTTTGTTGAATATAATAAATAAAAAAAATACCAGTAACTTTCATCTCTCTCTCTCTCTCGTACTGCATGATTTGTTCTAACATTCTACCGATGTAATTATTTATTCTTGAGTAGTAGTATATGTATATGGTTATGCTTATCAATGTGTATATGCGCATCTGAATGTAAAATCAGTGTTTCCCATATGTTAATAATTATTTTTTTCGAAATATGAAAAAAAAACTAAAATGAATATGATTCTCTTGTTGACATTAAAAATTAAATTATAAATGAAACACTTTTTTTTTTTTCGTTTTTTATTTTCAGATCAACAAGGTAATGTTAATAAATTTTGTTTTTCAATGTTTGTTAGTATTCTATAAAAAATGTTTTTTTTGCACTGAATCTTTTCATCATACGCCTGCTTTTTCTATTTTTCAATAAACCATCACTGTATCTAAATGTTTTTCATTCTTGTCCCTATAATATTCTTAGTGCTTCTCTTACTTGTGTCATCGTTAATCGAACGATTGCAAATTTTTGTTTTTTGGTTTTTTTTAAAAAAAAAAAAAAAGAAATAAGTGAATGATGCTTTTGATCAATATTTTCTCTCTATTATACGAGCATGTCAAAAATAAATGGCAAAAAGGATTTTCGATAGAATAACTATGACCTTTGTTGTATTTTTTTTAAAGCCAATCAATGATTAATTGATATTAATCTTATTTGATTTTTGTTTTTTTGTTCTCTTTTTTTAGTGAACTTGATACAACTGATTTTGATAATGGTTTTGATTCGAATATGTCAGCATCATCATTACAAATTAATAAAATTATAAATCGAAGTACAAGTCATCCAGATTTATCACCAGTATCAGTTAATAATAAATCAATATTATCACCACCAAATTTTCCAATTATTGATGAAGATCATTCAGCATTTGTTCTTAAAGTTTATCGAAGTGATCAATCATTTAAATATTTTCCTGTACATAAGGTAGAGGAGAAGAAAAAAAAAAGAACTAAGTTTGATTATGAAATCTTTTTTTTTGTTTAGGAAACAACAGCAAAACAAGTTGTCATGTTAGCTATAACTGAATTTGGTATTGTTGATCCAAGCAGGTAAATAGATGCATAATTATTGTATTTTTTTTTTTCTAATCTACTATTTATCTATGAGATTAGTTTCTCTATTGAATATAATCCTCATCATTTTTCTAGTTATACATCTTCTCGTGTAGAGTTTGATCTACTCCGGTAAGAAATTATTCTTGAGGGTTGGGGGGGAAACTTTACTTTCTTTTTTTTTCTTTTTTTTTTTTTTGCTTTTCAACTAATAAATAAATATCTAAAGTGCATGTTTTGGGTTATTTAATTTACGCTATACCTTGTTTTTTTTTGTTCCTCATTCAGGGAGAGTATCTTCTATGACAATATGTAAGTTTATTATTATTATTATTATTTATTTCTTATCTTTTTCCACTATTTGCTCATTTTCCATACATATATTCTTCATTTTAATCACTTTTTATGAAAATATTGATTGTTTTCTTTTAATATTAATAGATTATTGAGATTAAATTCATATGCTTAATATTTGAGACAAATATGAATTAGTTTTGGCTCTATTATATAGATATCTATTTAATTCTATGATTATTCTACATTTAAAAACAAAATTTTTATGTCAGATATAACAATTATATATCTACGTAAAAATTTTTACTCGCATTTGATTACAGTCACCACAAAGGATTGAGGTTGAAAAGTTTGTGGGATTATGATTCATCATAAATGTAGGTCAATGGCTAAATGCGCATAATGCATGCTTGAATAGATACGGGGTGATAATGAATGATATCTATTTTTAGTTGGAGAATAATCAAATTTGGAAGGAGAAGATACTCTACATCAATAAAACCTATCATTATGTAGCACTATGTGTGTCTACAAATTTCGTGATAGTTTACCAAGATATTCAAGAATTGTGATCATTTTATTCTAACTATCGTTGTATAAAAATCATCTATTATCCTTTCAAGATTCATTCATTATTCAATATATTTATCTGAAAATTTTCGGAGAAATTTTCTCGATATTATTTTCAGCAAGATTTAGAATCAAATATTTTTCTACTAGAAGATATAACATATGGATAAGTATTTTAGTATCGAGAATCTAGAGACATCAATATTCGAGCAAATAAATTTATCTTTCATATGAAAGAAAAATCACAGATCGGGTTTCAGTTTCATGCGGAAAGTTCAGAATCAATCATGTATTTGATAAGAAATAAGACAAACTCTAGTTGGCCACCTTTTAAAGTCATGAAGTTTACATCAAAACTCGGTTTCTACTCGAGATTCTGATAGTACCGCAAACTCACATGTCTGTTCGAGTGAAGACAAACAAACATTTAGACCATTATCGGAGCAAAGAATTTTGTACAAGGGTGCATATTCTATTAAATATGGACAAAACAACCCCGGGACCAACACTTTTTCATTGGGAATGATACCTTTCATGATCCTGTAAAACTCTTGCATCGAATGTCATATTGTCACAACTAATATACTTTAAATAGGAATAGGCAAGATCATACCTACTCCGCTCCCAGGGGAAGGAGGACTAAATTTTTTTCAACTGGAACCAAAAAAACGATTGTCTATATTTTATAGAAGCACGTCTTCTTCTTTTATCATGCATAATAGGTACAAAATATTTTTGATAATATTTACGATTAAGTCTGAATGATTATTTAAGTAAAAAAATTCACGTTCGAATAACAAAAAGTTTTTGTTAGAGAATTTTTATATATGTTGAATTGTACGATGAATCTCACTTGCTATAAAAGCTTAATCACTTATGTTTTTTTTTTTTTATTTAAACTATTACAGAACGCATAACACTTCTTTTCTTTCGAAAATAAACAAGAATGCAAAATTGCTGCTCTTCTAAATATACATATATTTTATTTTTTTTGAAAATAACTTCTTCATTCACAAAATGAAATTCTTATATATATATATATTCTCTTAAGATGTTATTCATTATGTGAAGTATCAGTTGAAAATGGTGTTATAAAACAAAAACGTTTACCTGATCATATTGATAATTTACCAGAACGTTTACCAGTAAATGGTCGTTATTATTTAAAAAATAATCATTTAACTGAAACACTTGTACCTGATCATTTATCACATGAATTATTACGTGAAGCACGTATTAATTTTCTTCAATTAGATCCACTTGAAATATGTGCACAATTAACATTACGTGATTTTGCATTATTTAAATCAATTCAACCAACAGAATATATTGATCATATATTTAAATTAAAATCTTTATATGGTATACCACAACTTGAAAAATTTCTTAAATTACCTAATCAAGAAATGTATTGGACAATAACAGAAATTTTACGTGAAAATAATGTTATACAACGTTCAAAAGTTATTAAACATTTTATTAAAATTGCAAGTAAGAAAAATATTTCTTGTTTTTTTTCTTTTTTGAGGGAAACAAAGAAAAAAAAACATGCTTTATTAATTTTATTATTTAGAAAGTTGTAAAGATATGAAAAATTTTAATTCAATGTTTGCTATTATTAGTGGACTTGATCATAAAAGTGTACAACGTTTACAATCAACTTGGGAACGTGTATCAGATAAATATAAGAAAATTTTTGAAGTAAGAAAAATCAATAATATTAAAATAAATACTATCTATGATGTTTGTTATTTTTTCGTTATGGATTTGAATATAATATTAGATAGGAATATTTATCTATATATATATATACATATTATTTATTCGGATCATATTCTATCGTATATGATTATTTGAAAGTATAATGATTCTTCTGAGTGTTTTTTTTAGAAGGTTAATTTTTAGAGTGTAAAGTCTATTTGTTGTGAAATGGAAAAGATAAATAATTTTGTAGAATGAAATATGACATAAGCAGAAGTGAACTAGATGAAAACTGAAAGTTGTTTTTTTTTTGCATAAATTTAGAGAGTAGAATTTTTTGTTGATTAGATTTGAATTCTAGTTTAAGATAACTATTGATATATAATAAAAAATTCAATAGAATTTTGCTATTTTGATTTGATACTCAAAGAGGAACCTTTAGTTTTTTGTTTTTTTGAATAGGAAAAAAATAATAAAGTTGTTCTTTACCCAGGAGAATCATTCCAACAATCGGATCCGATCGGATTCCTATCGGATTCGATCGGATTTTATTGGAATTTCTATAAATCCGACGAAATCCTATAGGAATCCGGGAGACGATCCTACTAACGGAATCTTAGTGTCTAGACATTATAGGATCCTACTATCGGATTCCGATAGTAATTCATCGTATAAATATGACTGGTCTCTAGTATTGGATTAAAATGCTAATTAGCACGTAATTAAGAAAATAGGTTTCGCCCGTCAGATCCGTTAGTCGATCCGTTTCCCGGAATCCCATAGGATTTTGTCGGATAGTCGGATCCGATCAGATCCGATTGGATCCGGTATCGGATTCATTCACCTGAGTATTGTTATCAATATTCTAGCATAGTCCGCTGAATTCATTTTAGATGCGAGTTCAAGTACTTGAACTTGAAAAGAGTTTAAATTCGTTATAGACTCGTGTTCAAACTGCAATGGAAACATAATTATGGAAGATTAAATCGTAGATTACATGGACACGTTTAAAAAACTTGATTGAAAAACATATGATTATCTATTTATGAATGTCCGCAAGAACATCAAGTGTTATGTTTGTTGTTCAAAACTTCCGATGTCTTATGAGAGCATAATCACATTTGAGATGAATCTTGACAATGTAGATCCTGTAAGATTTTTTGGTCCCGACAAATTATTTTTCTTGTAGTTCTGATTATCAGCAATTTTTCTTTCCTGTGATCTCGGACACCTCTAGTTATGGCTATTTGAATCAGTTTTTTTTTGTTACCGAATATCATGATTGGTCTTAGATCGCATTTAAAATTGACTTTCAAGATATGTACAAATAACATTCTCAATAGAATGAGTTTATCATGAAAGTATTAAACGTCGATATTAATCTATGAATGTAACTCGATCTTATAAATAAAAATCATTTGTTTAAAATAATTAAAATTTAATATATATTTTTTTTTTCAGGAACTTAAATCTTTGCTTGATTTATCTCGAAATATGTCTGTCTATCGAAATTTATTAAAAAATGAATTTGTTGTTCCACCTATTGTAAGTAATCAAATACTTCTTATTCAATCCATTGTATTGTTGTTGTTTTTCATTTTTTTTTTTTTGTATTTTTAGATTCCCATGTTTCCGGTGTGTATGAAAGATTTGACATTTATACATTTGGGAAATCCAACACAAGATGATGGCTTAGTAATTTATAAAAAAGAAAAAAACGAGAAATATTATATTAAAATTATTCTTTTTTTTAGATTAATTTTGAAAAACTTCGTATGATTGCAAAAGAAATTCGACATATAACAAACATGGCATCTTCTCCTTATGTAAAAAAAAAAAAAAGAATTCTTGAATTAATAAATTTATTTGTTTTTTTTGTAAAGGATATTTCAAATATGTTCGATTCACCAACATCTCATGCACAAGTATTTGCTGGTTTTGGTCATCAATCAATGACAGATTCAATTGCTACAATACGAAGACATCAAACGGGTAATCGTGCATCTATTATGGCAAATGCTAGACGAATTTATGATGAAGTAAAAAAAAAAAGACACCTTTTTGAATTTTTTTGAAAATTATTATTTATATTTAGGCATTAATGGTTAAAAAAGTAAAAACTTATTTAAATAATGCTGAAATAATCGAAGATGAAAATCGTCTACTGGATTTAGCCAATCAATGTGAACCAGGTAAGAAACATTAGTTTTTTTTTTTTTTTTTATTTTCTGAAAAATTTCAATTCTAAACAAAATAATTCAATTTATATATTTTAAATCCAAAAACAATAAATAAAACAAAAACAAAATGAGATTTTTATTCTAGTTTTTCATTTTTTTGAGCACACAAATCAAAAAATAAACGAATTTGGTGAGAATATTTAGTTTCAAAAAATAAATAAATAAATAAATAAAGGAATTGAACAGCATGTTCTTTATATGAAAGCACAAAATGTATATGCGCATGTCGTGTATTTTTTGTTTGCATATATATTTTTTTATTTGCTAGAAATATACGCACGTTTGTTTCCTTTAGTTGGAGTAGGAAGTACACCTGCATCTCCAACGACTCCATTTTCTAAACTTTCACTGGTTACTAATGATAATGTATTTGTTGTTGCGAGTACACCAGCAAATTCAAGAGTAAATAATCAAAACAATGATGGTATTAGAAATGAAAAACCTAGTATCGTTATTACAAGCGAAGAAATAAATAATAATAATAATAATAATGCTCTTGTTCGACAACGTACAACTACACCGCCAACAACATTTGGTGCTTTTAGAAGTGCTTTTTTTAATGGTATTTTAAGCTGATAAGAAGCATAATTAGGGCTTATAACGATTTTTTTTATCCTCTCACAAAGCATCAAACAGTTTACTGCTTGCTCTCTATTTATTTTTAATTAGAATTTAATTGTTAATAGATTTTCATTTTTTTTTCGTTTATTTTCTAATTTAGTCAGCACAATTAAACGTCGTCCATCACCATCAACATCAAGTTTATCATCAAATTCATCATCTGATCGTCGTGCTAGTTCTATACAATTAACGAAATTTGGTATGCTTATTTATTTTCTTTTGTTTCTTTTTTTCTTTTGGAATTTATCTTATATAAGATTTTTCAATGAATACCAATCTAAAGAAAAGTGTTTTTAATTTTTTGTTTATTTTATTTAGGGAGTTTTTCAGGTAAAATAAAAGAATGATGTTTATATATAGTTTTGTTTTTGCTGGTGTCAAGTATATTCGTTTCCGTACAGGGATGTTCCGAGATCGTTAGGATTGAAGGTAGATGACACTCGCAAGGGAATTTTAAGTTGAGATTATGTAAATTCAAATGAAGTATAAATTCATGCCCTTAGTTTATTTTCTGTGGAGGAGATACTGAAGTTTTACAAAACTTTTTAAATCAATGTCATAAATTGATTTTCGACTTGAAATTTTGTATACAGAGAAATCTTAATGAGAATAGATTTTTTTTTGTGAATATTTCGGATCTCGTTGATATTTCTAATCTAAGATACGGCTATGAGAATAGTATGTCTTCTATACTACTCATATAAATCAACAGATTTAATGTTCTTATATCAGAATAGAAATAAATTAAAAGACGATGAAATTTTCATAATAAACTACTCTTATTAAGGTCTGTCTTCCTCGGAAGCAAATTTCTTTGCTCAGAAATGATTTGTATGAAGTAGAAAAACATTTTTAAGAAGAAAAATGCCTGAGAGAGACATTTGGCATTATTTTTCGAGAAAATTTTATGCGCTGATTTCGAATATACTATTTTTGTCGGTGAAAAGTTTTTCAAAGCCAGAAAAAACGAGAAAATATCTGAAAAGTCTAGTTTTGTTTTTTTGAAATCTATTGTACAGTTCAGGAATGTTTTCATCTAACAGAAATTAAAGATATAGTAGATAAAAGAACATTCTGGAAAAATTTGAAGGTTCGGATTGCTCATTTTATGAGACTAGTCGTTAGGATAGCACTATAGAAAAAAATATTCTTTTTTTTCTCAGAAGTTAAACACGCTAAAAAGAAAAAGTATTGTTTATCATTGTATAGAATTCATAAATCTTGAAAAAGTGAGATTTTCATTTTTATCCAAATATCCCGCCTAGATACACACTGTGAGAGAGTCGACTTCCTCTTCCTTATTCACTCGGGACATCCCTGTCTCCGCATGTTGTTTATCTGATTGCTATTATGCTTACATTTTCTAAGGAGAATACTAATTATTATTTTGGTTTTGTTCTTTCGAATATCTTCAGGTACACAATCACCGGATGCTGTTAATAAATTACTTCGTCTATCGGATAGTAATCATCAAGTAAAATCTCGTGCACCACAACGGCCAAGTCATACATCAACACAATCTAGTCTTATAACTACATCACTACCAAATTCAGCACCACCAATAATAAGTAGTGTAACAACAACAGGACTTTCATCATTAGCTGAACAACCTCATCATCATCGTCATACAACAAAAATACGTGATACAAATAAATTAACAAGTGAAAGTTCAAGTTTAAATTTTAAACCACCTACATCAACATCACATTCACATCTTATGCGATCTCATACTCGTAAGTTAGAAAATATTTAAAAAAAAAAAAAAAAAAAGGAAATAATCAATTATTTATTTTATTTTATTTAAAGAATTACATCAAACTAATAGTGATTCAGTAAAAGAAATTGGTGGGGATTCTGGACGTGGTAGTCTTAATTCAACGGATACTTGTATGTTATATGAAAATTTTTTGTTTGTTTATTTAATTTTTTATTTTTTTCTAAATAATATATTCTAGGTGTTGGCGATGGAAGTGAAAAATCGACCAGTACAATAGGCGATGGATTTTCATCAGTTAGAATTCGAAATCGACCTCCATTACCACAATCAAATTCTGTCACACCTGGTAAGATTAAACAATTATGAAAGTTAATCAAATTTGGATCACTTTTTTTTTTTCTGTAAAATTTTTCCTAATAAGGAAATGTTTTCAATTGATTAATCACTTTTGACTTCGAACTCTGTGCATAAAGTAGACTCTAGTGAGATATGAAAAAAATTCTAAAGAATAAATATCTCTTCAGATATTTCATTCAGAGTTATAGACATTTTACTAGAATTTTAGTCTCTGACATGGTATATACAACAAATCGAATGATGGTATCTTGACCTGAGATTTTGCTCATAGACAAGGTCTATTTGTTGGTAGAATACCCTGAAAATTTCAGCTCAAGAAAATGTTTCCTTCCGAAGATAATAAAGATCCAAAAAACAGAAAATTCTCGAATCTTTCGTGAAACGAGTGATTTTTGAGAGTGTAATAACTCGGGAATGAAACATTCTTTTAAGCTGAAATTTTCAGAATATTCTACTAATAAATAGATCTGTCTGTGAGCAAAATTTCAGATCGAAATACCATTATTCGATTTGTTAGTATATACCATGCCAGCGGCTAAAATTCTAGTAAAATGCCTATAACTTTGAATAGAATGTCTTAGAAGATTTATCCTTTGGAATTTTTTCATATCTCACTAAAGTTCACTTTGTGCACAGAGATCGAACTGAAAAGCGATTGATCAACTGAGAACGTTCTCTCATAAGATTTTATTCTTTAGGTGAATGACTCAACAAAAAATGATGAAACTTTCAAAGCAAATAGATCCCAATAAGTAGAATAAAAGTTGTCTTATATCCAAAATTTCCAGATGTTTCCTGCACGCAGATATGATGATCACAAAGACCCAAAATCCCTCTCCGTAAAACTCTATATTTTATTTATTCGAGCTGTAATTTTTTTTTTCATGACAACTAAAATTAAATCGGGGTATGCGCTTTCTTTTAAAAAAATATTGTTCCTAGAGCTCAGCAGAAGCAAAATATTGAAAGCATCGTCAATAAATGTGTTTTTTTTGCTCAAAAATTGATTTTGAGATAAAGTCAAAACAAATTTCCCTTTATGTATCCTATTTCAACAGCTAATTGCTCTCATTTATATGACATTTGACAGAAGGCACTTCAAAAATTTTGATTGTAACTTTTATTTTTAGGAACTCGTCATGATAGTACACAAATTCCAAAGACGGTGCATAATTGGTTTCAACGTTCTCAATCAGATAATGAAGTGCTTACAGCTAATGTACCTGATCGAGGTAACTATTAAGTATTGAAATATAAATAAATAAATAAATAAATGAGAAAGAGAGAGATTATATTTTATTAATTTAAAGGAAATCTTCGTCGAACAGATTCTCTGTAAGCATGTTTTTTTTCGTGAAAAAATAAAAAGAACACAGAAATGTTTGAAAAATTGGTTCGATTAACAGTGTTTTTTTTTGGTTTTACTTTTTTTATTTTTGAATTCACAGACTTCCACCCATTTACCCATATTTTTAAATAAAATATGTTTTGTTTCAATTGAAATAAATTTTGCTTCTGTTTCTTTTGTTTAGAAGAAACGACAATCGATTACGACGAACATGAACAAGTGACAGCTGTCTAAAAAATATGTGTGCTAATTTGTTTGTATATTTGGCCCGGTGCCTTTTTTCATTCTTCGGTTTGTTTTCTTTTTTTCTTTTTAAATTCTTTTCTTTGAACAGTGAATTATATGCGTATTGCACATAAAAAAAATTCATCATTATATTGTACATTGTGTGTGTGTGTGTGTGTGTTTTTGTTTTTGCATTTTCTTCTCTATTACGTTCATTTCTTTTGTCGTTCCTTTTTCTTTTCTTTTTTTTTTTTTTTATATTTTCCTATACTGATTTCTCTTGATGTTGTTACTTGATGCTCAATAGTTTCGTTTGCTTAGATACTCTATTGTATTGATCTGATTGATTTCGTTTTTCTTCGTCTATCGAAGTAGTAGTATTCATATGATAGGTTTATATATTATCTAATGCTTGCTTTTTATTTCCTATTTAAACCGAGTTTATAATTAGCCACGCGATTCAATACGTTGATTTCTATACCAATAATTATCATCGGTTGTCAGATGTACTGCGCTTGTTTTTTTTTCTTTTTTTCTGCGTTTTTCTTTCTTTAAAGAACAAAAAAAAAAACAAAAATACGAATACTTGGCAAAAATACAAACATGAAATTTTTTTTTGTTTTGTGCGGGTAGAGATAACTGTGATATTAAGATGTGGTCCAGAAATCTATATTTGAGCTAAAATGATCTGTTATTATTGCATTAAAAACGGAACTAATAGCTTTACTCGCTCAATTTTGATGTCGGTTGTTTTATTGTAAAATTTGTCTATTATTTAATACTCAAACGCTTTTTTTTTTTCTGTGTTATATTTTTTGCTTGTTTATTATTTATACAACACAGTCTATCTCTTATACGATCGTGTGTATGTATGAGTTTATTTGTCTAGGTTTTTTTTCTATCGCTCTTTCTCGTTTTTTTTTTTGTTGTATGTCATCAGAATATGAAATCGTGTGTATGAAATAAAAGAAAATAAACTAACAAAACAGCAAAAAAAAGACAAATTCCAAAGAACAAAAGATAGCATTTGTATCCGAGGGATAAACATGAGATAAAAATCACCTGAGTATACATTAATGGTTCGATCCTCACGCTGTTGTTATCTTTATTAAATAAAAAAAAAATTTGAATAAATACTTATGTTGATGCACATTTTTCTACCTGTTCGGATATTTCTATTTTCAGACAAAAAAATAAAATAAAATATGTTAAAATTATTTATTCTCATCGCATTATCTTGTTCAATCAATTCAATATGGGCTGATACGCCATTCAAAGATTGTGGATCAGAATTAGGTACAATTCAATCATTTACTGTAACGGATTGTCCAACAGCTCCGTGTAAATTTGAAAAAGGCAAAACATATGCAATGAATTTAACATTTACAGCAAAAGCTCCATCAAAAACAGCGTCAGTTAGCATTCATGGTAAATGAACAAGTTTTCTTTTTTGTTTTTTAAGAAATATTTCTTTTTTTTTTCCCTGTATTCATAAAAGGTGTTATTGGTGGTATTCCAGTTCCATTTCCATTACCAGATCCTGATGCTTGTAAAATGAATGTTAAATGTCCAGTAAATCAAAATGATAAGAATGAGGCATCAATGTCATTACCTGTTTTATCATCATATCCATCAATTTCACTTTATGTCAAAATTGAAATTAAAGCTGATGATCAACATCAAGATTATGCTTGTTTAACATTTCCAGCAACAATAACAAGTGGTTCAGGTCATAAAAGAAATTTAGTTGGTTGGAAAAAAGGCAAATTATTCGAAATGCTTGATTGAAAAGTGGTTTTTTTTTTGTTTGTTTTCTTTTTTTGAAATACTTTCAACATGACATTAAAAAAGATCTTCACATATATTTCAGTTATTCTAACCGCATGTCTTTCGATTATTTGTTAAAGATTTCGGATCGTGTGCGACCTTTTTTTTTATGTTAAAAACAAAACTTGTCATCGCTCATTATGTCTTTTATATTGCTGAAATAGAAAAATCCACATCTACACTAAATGTACTTTTATTTGAATTTAAGCAATGCACTCAAACTTAAACAGCTGTATTTACTCACACATATTGTATTTACAAACACTGATAAAATACTAAATCATTGAGTTTTTTTTTTCTATGCATTTGCTATCGCTTTTTCATCTATCGTAAGAAGGGTATATAAGTTGAATTTATATTCTTGATAATCAGTTTTAACTGTAGAGATTCGAGAATATTGGACACCTGTTGAAAACATATGACTTTAGTTTCGAGAAATACGTTGATAATTGAGTTTTTGCAAATAAAAGATTGATCAGTAAGTTGATAATACATTAATTAGATTCTACATTAAAAGTAAGAAGTAGATATCATGTTAGGAATGATTCCAGGCATGAAATCGAATTCTATTATTTTTTAATTGTGATAATAATGATCTTACATTTCCCTTGACAAAGAAAAAACTATTCAATATCTAGAAAAAAAAAATTTTTTCTTATCATCAACTAAGCCATTAAATTAAATCTATTGATCAATAATATCATTTATGGGACTTGAGTGGAAAAAAAGCACCAAAACTGCGAAGAATAGTTAGTGCTATGTTTAGTAACGTATTAGATTACTAAGCTTGACATTTACAAAGGATTTCATATTTATTTCTGTCCAATAGGCTTACTTTTGACAAAAAAAAAAGATAACCTTCATTAATTGAATGAAAAGGTGCATTTGTTTTTGTTGAAAATTGCTTTTTATATTACAAATGGGATCTGTTTTTTTTTCTCTTCATTCGATTGTTATGTGTGTTTTAATAAGATATGAGAAGAAGAAACTTTTTTCTTATTTTAGATAAAATGGCAGCAAGTTTAGATGAGAAATTTGAAAGTTTAGAATCGATTTTAGCTGAACATTTACCAGCAGATGTACTTGAAAAAGTAAATTTATCTCTCCGTGGGCCAGGTTCAACGTAAGTATAAAGATTTTAATTTGTGGACTATATTTTTTTTTTTAATATTTTCTTCTTTCAAATTAAGTAACCTTGAATTATCAACTAAGGCAAAAGAAATGGCTAAAAAAAATAATTTTGATCTTCAAGGTTATCAAATAAAAATAGCACAAAAAGAAGAAACACGACCACCACGTTTAGTTCGTATTGCTGCTATTCAAAATGCTATTCAAAAACCAACTACAGCTAGTGTTGAAGAACAAGTATTATAAAAATTTTCTTCTTTAAAATATTAACTATATATATGTATATAATAGAGAAATGCAATTCATCAACGTGTTGATCAAATGCTTGCTGCTGCACATGAATGTCAAGTAAATATAGTTTGTTTGCAAGAAGCATGGAGTTTGTATTCTCAATATAATTTTTTGTTTATGATAAAAATCATTGAATTTTAGCTATGCCATTTGCTTTTTGTACAAGAGAAAAATATCCTTGGGTTGAATTTGCTGAACCAGCATATGATGGACCATCAACAAAATTTCTTGCCGAGGTTTGAAATTCTTATAAATCAATATATATATATTTTTATTTGATAATTGAACATTTAGAGAGCAAAAAAATATAATATGGTTATTGTTAGTCCAATATTAGAACGTGATGAAGAACATGGTGATGTTTGTTGGAATACAGCAGTAATTATTTCAAATCGTGGTAATGTTATTGGTATTACACGCAAAAATCATATTCCAAGAGGTAAAAAAAATTCTTCTTTTTGTTTTTAATAATTCAATATCATTATTTTATTGGTTTTCATTTTAGTTGGTGATTTTAATGAAGTAATTTTTTTTTATTGAATTAGTTCATTTATATATATATATATAATTCAAAATTTTTAATTTAGTCAACTTACTATATGGAAGGCAATACTGGTCATAAAGTATTCGAAACAGATTTTGGTATTTTCTTTTTTCATTGTATATTATGAACAGTATCTATTTACTATTTTTTGTTTTAAGGTCGGATTGCGGTAAATATTTGTTATGGACGTCATCATCCACAAAATTGGCTTATGTATGGTGTAAATGGTGCCGAAAGTAAATTTTTATTTCCTGTATTTAGACAATAAAAAAAAAAGATCTTTTTCCTTTTAGTCGTTTTTAATCCAAGTGCAACAGTTGGAGCACTTAGGTAAAAATAAAAATTAATTTCAAAGATTATAAAATTTAAATTTGAAAATTTTTCTAGTGAACCTTTATGGAGTATTGAAGCACGTAATGCAGCTATTGCAAATAGTTACTTTGCAGTAGGTATTAATCGAGTTGGAACTGAAGCATTCCCAAATGAATTTACAAGTGGTGATGGTAAACCAGCTCATAAGAATTTTGGACATTTTTATGGTAAAATTTTAAATTTTATAAGAAAATTAAATGATTTTATTTCTTTTAGGAAGTAGTTATATAGCATCACCTGATGGTAGTCGAACACCAGTGAGTTTGAAGCAAAAAAAAAAAAATATATATATGTATATAGTTTTCTGTTATATTGTTTTGTTTAGGGTTTATCTCGAATTCGTGATGGACTTTTAGTTGCTGAATGTGATTTAAATTTATGTCGTCAAATGAAAGATAAATGGGGTTTTCGTATGACACAACGTCTTGATTTATATGCTGATAGTTTTGCTCGAGCAATTTGTCCGGATTATAAAATGGATATTATTAAAGATCCAAGTTCAAAAAAATAGATCTTTCTCTTTTTACTCATTTTATCTTAATCTCTAAAAACTTTATGTTTTATCTCATTAAGAAAAAATAATAAAACTAACATTCATGACTCATATGTAATGAATACTTTTTTCTTTAACTTTAAAGATCTCAAATGAAAAGTACAAACATTTCAAACCATAGATTAGAATGATTATCATGTGATATTTAATTTGATCAATTATTGCTTGCTTACTTCTAATATAACGGGTGTGCCATAAATAATAATATCATTCATACTTTGTGAAACACGATCTAATAGGGAAAAAATTTGCATCCTCTTCCCACAGACAGTAATCCAACAGCATCACAAATTGTGACAGACATTAACTGAAGACCATCACAGATTGGATATCAATAATGACTGGTTACAATATATGAACTGTTTCCTTATTGTATTTCTGAATGATTAAGTAAAACGAGAATGATGAAGTATAGGCAGTATAAAATAATATCTCTTGATTGACAATAGAAGCTATATCGTGTTTCACATTTTAAACCCGCAAGGATTGCGTTAACAGCTTTTCTATTTATTTTGATTGCGTTTGTAGATAGAGAATTGCGCTTAATCTTGAAATATTCGTTGTTCTGTTCTCTACAAAATCGCGTGATAGTCTTAGATCTAACTTTAAAAGTGATCGCGAGAATCGGACAATACACAAGTCCTTCAATATTTATCCATTTCTAACATATAATAATTTGTATTCGAGGTTTTACTTACTCCAGGTTAAACTTTTCAGGGGTTATTTATGTGTTGTTAGTGGAAATGAATACTTCTACTAAATATTGAATTTGTCATTCAATATGAAGAACAATAAAGTTTCTATATCATGTCTTGAAAATTGTCCTGTAGAAAATGAACTATAACATTGGAGAATCTCAACATTCTTCGATTCTCTTGTCGACTTTGAAGATTAGATCTAACGTTCTCGTGTGATTGTATACAAAATTGAATAACGGATCGTTTGAAATCAAGCGTAGTATTCTATCTACAAAGGTGGATACGATAAAAAAGAAAATACTAATGATGTCATTATTTATGACGCACATGTTATAATTTCAGTTCATTCATGGAAACATCGTTCAATATAAAGAAGATTATCAACAATCTATCGTCAAATTGTAAAGATATTTTTCTATCGAATGCAATATTTTAATTATGTTTGATAGCGATAAATTGTTTTGTTAAGCAATAGTCCTTAACTGATGATTTTGTTTGTATTATCACAGTGTGAATAGTCGAGAAAAGATATGAAATATGAAATAATGAATATTGTATCTGGGTATGTATATTGAATGTAATACAGGGATGGCTGAAGAATACAGCAAACTAAATGAAATCGAATCGGTTGCTTTTGATTTATTAAAATAAGCTTAAGATATGGAGTTGTTAATTTCATAGTTGATACATTTTCTCATTAGATTAAGAGTTGTCCATCTCTGGATTTTATGAGAAAAATTTATAAAAGAATAAATTAAACTGCTACTCCTTTGATATCAATCATAGATTTAATCAGAGTCAAACCCAATGTCGGATCGATCGGTGTATCGGCATGAGTCATTCTTCTCTTTGCTGACGCCATAACAGTCAAATCACGACCTGGATTAGTCATATCTTTCTCCTAATAATATTCGATTTTTTTTATCTCTTATTTTCAATTTTTCGACAAAACGACATGTAAAAAATTCAGATCGGTCGTTTACTGTTATCGATTATAACTCTGGTTTTAATTATGTTTAAAAACTTGTATGTCTTTCAAACTCTATCGAAAGAAGTTCAGCTTTGTAGAATCGAAGTTGACACAGAATTGAAGAATTAATCGGGAGTTGAAGTAGAATTCTAGAAAAAAAAGGATTGGAGTTGGTCATTTCTATTCAAATATCTTTTCAATAATTTAACTGCACCATTAGCATTGTTGTTGATGTCAGGTGTTTGATTGATCTTATTGAATTATCGTTTTTCATGCCATTGTAAAATATGTTATTGTTGTTATTTTTCATCTGATGTGATATCTAGTCATTATAAACTAATAAAATTGAAGCATATAACAATTCCAATAATGTAGCAACAAATCTTTCGATATATATATATATACAAATATTTAGGTTCTTTCCAATATATAATAAATCATGATATATTGGTTTTTTCCCAGTTTTTTGTGTGCGTTTATCTAATATATATATTCTCCTTTCGTTATCAATACTTTTCTGTTATTATCATCATACACAATTATGTATCGTCTTGAACTTATACTGTTTATCAAAGTTATTCAAGGTAAATCATATAGATGCAAATGAATTAATCGAAGATATACCTACCGAACTGTGCTAATCATTGTAACCTCGTCAGTGACGTTATATGTGACAGTGTTTTGAACGTAAATTTCTTGAATACTTCAAAATCCAAAGAATTCAAAAAAAAAATCAAGTGAAATTCACAGCTTCGAGCTTCTGAATTGAGATTATATGCTATTAATTTTAGTAACTCCTTCAAAAGACATCCTCATTGTAGAATGCTTCGAATTCTATTTTAATTGTTGTCGAATTTCTAGATGGTGAAAACATAGCGATATAAATATCATTCTTTTTTTTTTTATTATCTACGAACAAATAAATTATAACAAAACAAAAAACATATTATCAGCAAGAGGACAAAGTTCGTCATAAAAAAATTAATGAAAAAAACAAAAGTAATCTATTGTTATTTTCATAGTTCACCGTCTCTCAAATTGATGTTAACAAGCACAATATATTTTTTAACAAAAGCATTTAGCGATACGTTGTCTGAGCAATCAATGTACTTCATCGTATGTGCTTAGAATAAAAGCAATACTGATCATGAGAAAAAAATATTCTTAACCATTCATATTTCTATTCGACTCATCACCTGCTTAATTTCACATATGCGATAAATTGCCTGAAGCATATTTATTTTCTTCAACATTTTGTAATTGCTTACTGTATTTATAGATAAGATCCATTAAAAAAAACAAACATTCTCAGACAGAAAAAATTCGTTATTTATTACTTTTTCATCATCAGAATAATATTTTTTTTCTCTACCTACTACTAAATTACTTTTTCGGTCGATCCTCTTCACTCTCTCTCTCTCGCTCATTCGTATATACGCGCATGTGCATCATACATTTGAGTAGAAATAAAAAATATTTATATAGCGTTCTGTGATTTCTTTATTCGACATTCATGACAAGAACAGGAAAAAAAATAAGAAAGAAAGTGTAACGATGAAGATTATTGTTCGGATGTGCATATGACTGAAAAAAAAAATCTTAGCAAGCAGAAAAAAATGAAGAAAAGAAAATATTGTTGTGTTATTACAATGTCAATGAACCAACAATGGCAATAAGTAAGTAAGTATTACTCGCTTGCTTTCAGTCAAAATTTAATATTTCTCTGAAAAATAAAAAAATATTTTGTTGTATACTTAACTATTTTTTTTTCTTTTTTTCTTTCCTTTTTTTCTTCTCCTACTTCTTTGTCATAGCCGGTCATGTTGATGTGTTCGAGCTCGTAATTTTTTTTTATAGAGTAAATATAAAAGAAAGAAGTTACACAAAAAAAAACAATTATTGCAACATTTTTCTTGCTTATAAGATTTCGCATTTTTTGAACTTTTTTGTAGACGTGTGCAAAATTTCCAACTAGCTGCACCGTTATCAGAATAATACAAATATTTATTTAAATTATTAAAAATACGAATAGATATGAATGATGAAAAAAATGATGAAAGTTCACCAGTGAGTCCATCAACAAAATATCAAAAAAATCATAATGATTTATCTATATCAAAAGAAACATTTTCTAATGGATATGAATATACAAAAATTACTAATAATAATACATTATCTAAACAACGAAAATTGATTTTACATTTTGATAATCGAAATACATTACAAGTAAGTTTATTTCTATTTTTATTTGTATTTATTTATTTTGTTTTTTTTTCTTATCATTTTTGAATATTATAAGGTTGCCAATAATGTATCATCAACAACAATTGAACAAGGTTTGTTATAATAAATTTATTTGATTATTATTATTTTCAATTCCTATCTTGGAATATCTTGGCTATAGTCTAGACCAAGGTATTGATTCTTTTTATTATTGATAAAGCAATATTCATAGTTCATACTCATTATAAAAATGTCAAAGAAATAAATACTCTTTTGAAATATTAATATTGACCTTAGTAAAACATAGTCACCGTGACCAAGACAAGAAAAATGATGCCGTCGCAAAATACCTGTAATATTATGTGATTGTTTACAGTTGAAAATTTTTGAATACATAGAATAATATGGCATGGCGGAGTGATATAACCTTGAGACTACGAGAAAAATATAAGGAAATAATCGAAGAAAAATTATCTGCTTCCTTTATTTTTGATCAGATAAATAAATAATTGTTTTCTTTTTTTAATAATCTATTAATGAAATGAGCGATCATATTTCACAGAAGAGATATTCAATATTTATTTTATGAATATGAACTATGTACATTCGTTTATTAGCAATAAAAGAATTAACTCATTTAGTTAAATTATAATGATGATATTCAATTTTTTTTTTTTTATTGAATAAAGTGACTTTTGTACTATTCTATATATAGACTAAAAAGTCAATCTGATAACGATACTATCAATTCAACATAATCTACTTGTCGAAAAATTTCTTGACATTTGTCTCTAGTTTAGTTTTTTGTTTTTCTTTCGACAGACACTTTTTTTTTTTTGCTCGAAAATATTATTTCGACTTGCAGACAAATGGGTTGTATCACCTATAAAATGTATTGAGAGATGAAAAATACTAATGATCAGGATCATGGTAAGAATGATGAGTATGAAATAGTATCCAGAAATTCTTGATAATATGTTGATTTTTTTTTGTTTTAGTCTATATTCTTCATTTCTTCATAAATTTTTTGCATTGCGAATTTTCTGTATACTTAAAAGTATTGATGAAAAATCGATTCAATTAGATTTGATAGAAAAAATGAATAAAGCCTGTGGATAAATATCTTACCACCTGTTGATTTTTTCACAATGTTAAATAAGATATTTAGATAAATATCTTGCTTTCATTCTTCTGAAAATGTGAATATAGTGTAATACTTCGTTATAGTTTAAAATTTACTAAATTTCATATGAATTTTGTGATATGAAAGAATTCAATAAAAACAAGTTCTTTTAATCTTTATTTCTTTTGACAAAATATATCAAAATTCAATATGATTGTATGCAAAATAACATCGAAAAAAACTAAAACTTCTTTTATACATATCAAACTTCTAAAACTCTTCAATAAAATAGAACTAGTTAAATAAAAAAAGCTTATATTTATCCGTATAATTTTTATGTTTTTCTATTTTGTTTTTAAACATAATCATTCATAAAAATAAAATGACTCAATTTAATATTTCGAAGAAAAAAATATTCAAACAAAGAAAAAAAAAATATATTAGTCGTTTTTCTGTTAACTGCGTAAAAAGATAACATATTTTTAAGTTGAAAAATATTTTAACTTTTCTGTTTATACATAACTACGAAGTAGCACTTAAAGAAAAAACAAAAAAACTTATTAATAGCTCTAATAGAAATTGTTTTTAAACGACATCATATAAAAGAATTTCATTTTTTTTGGTCGTATGGTTTACAATTTGATATTCTTTTTTTTCCCTGGTTCAAAATAGTCGTTTACATTCTTTTCTTTCATCATGAATCAGTTGTTGATTAGTTACCACGATAAACGAGAATAGCAACGAATAATTATAACCTTTTACATGATGAATTGACTAAAAAGAAAAATAGAATAAGAAAAAAAAAAAAGAAAAGCTGTTAGCGGAATTTCTGAAGAAGTAATATATAAAACGTAATGTGGTTGCTGTTGCTAATTATAGGAAGAATATTATTTTATTCGGTCTACATTTCTTCCCTTTCCTCTTATCTAATCATCCAGAAATACAATAAGAAAGTAGTTCATATATTATAACGAGATGCTTTTGACATACGGTTTGTGACCATATATTAATAACGTCAATTACGTAGAGAAAGAAGCGTTGCTAAGCATCTGTCGGGGTGTTGTAATGAATTGTTGCTAAGGATGCCTTTAAGTCAAAAACTATGAGTTAGAATACTCTTTTTGAATATGGACTTAGAAATTTTATTTAAGTTTTTATTCGAGAGTAGTGAAATCATTTTTGAAAAATCCAAAAAAATTAGTTTAGATGGAACTTGTAGGCACCCGTTTCTAGTGAATATGTTTATTCATTTTGTCTTGCTTAAAAACATTTCAGAGGAGTCAAAAACTCTAGATCACAACCAAAAATTTCTAATGTTGTGTGTATTTTTATTTAAGAGTAGTGAGAGGATTTTTGAAAGACCTGAAAAATTATTTTTAATTATAAGCCAACAGATTTTTCTTTATCCTACAGATTCTTTTTCGAACATTCTAAAAATTATCGGAGTCAGTCATTTTCTAGGACGAACACTTCCCTACAAAATGTGACATTGCACTTCACTATAGCTTTTATCCAAGTGAGGCTACAACCATTTGTTTTGTTCAAGAACTCATTTTAACGTAAGAAGCTTTTTTACTGGAAAAAAAATGAGTATTCAAGAAAAATGAAAATTGAAGTGCCTTGTCGAAAGACAAAAAAATAATGCATTTTATAGGATAGCTTCTGATCTATAAACTGAGATATAAATAAAGATCGCAACTTTTAGTTTCGAATTGTAATAATAAAAATACAAAAATTTCCCATTCGAACAAATTTTTGTGGTCTTTTCAAAGATTATTTCACTATTTCCGAACAAAAATGTAAACAAAATTTCTAAGTTCATATTTGAAAAGAGTATTCTAACTCATAAGTTTTGATTTGTCAGAACTAAATTGTTGAATTTAATTTTGAAGACAATATTATAAATATTCATATATAAATAAATAATATGTTTGTCTTTTTTTTTGATTTAGGCGTAAATAATTTCTTAACAGGTGTTCTTTGGGGATATGAAAATGACAAAGATGAATGGGAATGGATATCAACATCACCATCTCTTCAAAAACCAGATAATTGTCCAAAATGTATAACTTATTTTAAATATTTAGAAAATCAAATTGTACGAGAAGCTATTGATAGAAAAGATTTACGTGCTAGAACGGGTAATTTTATATACAATGAAGGTGCATGTTTTCGTCAATTTTATGATGAATTAATTGAATCATTACGTTATAATAAATTAGGTGGTCTTGAACGAGAACGAGAAGATTTAATATTAACTATTGAAGAAGTACGAGAACTTAAAACAAATGAATTACAACCACCAGTAGAAAATAATCAACGTAAACGACGTTTATCAATTTTACATAGTGATCCAGTACCTGTAAATGGTTTTCGTTCAACAAATGGTACACTTTATCATTATATATTACCGTCATTTTTTCGTCTTATTAAATATTTACAAGACACTAATCGAGATTTTGTTATTTATTTACGAACAATGGGTGATGATAGTAAAAATTTTCTAACAAATTCTAAACGTATTCTTTCAAATGAACATCCATCATTTCAATTTCATCAATCTCTTGATGTTAATCTTGAACCTGGTCGTATTGAACGTAAAAATGATCAATCAATTTGTCTTCAAATGAAATTTCAAGAAGATTCTGATATACAAATAATAACAGATGAATTTTTAATTCATGAAAAATTAGAAAGTGGTCATGGTATACATGCAATAAAAGATGATTTTAATGCATGGTTTGGAACAAATTATCATTATTCAACATCAAAACCAATATGGTTTGATCCAGATGATAGAAATCCTCGTTCACATCATATATTATTTGATGATAATTTTCGTGTTATCGATCCATATGATTCTATTGTTGATATACGTATAATGAATAGAGAAAAACACAAATGTTATTCATGTCCATTTGAACTTTATCCTAAACTGGAAAATATATTTGCTGTACAAGCAAATTTATATTTAATATTAGCTGATCACGAGTATTATATAAAAACAATTGAAGAATGCGAAAAAAATCTTGATCAACTTCTTCAAGATGCTCAAACACTAAAAAAAATCAAAGAAGAAAGTTGTATTGATCATTTATAAAAAAAGACAATCTATAAAATTTTCCTTATTAATGCGTGTTTGTGATATAGTGTTTTTTTTTTGTGGTTTTATTGTCAGATAGATTGAGCTTGTGCGTTTATTGGATGTTTTTTCCGCGTTTACTAATCACGGTTTTCTTTCCAAATGCTGGTTCAACGTTTGAATGTTGTCAATTCCGTTAATTTTATTTCGTTTGTATTCATTAATACAACAAAAATTTCAAAAAGACTAATTCGATGATTCTTATTTGTATATAAATATGCATTTGGCGATCTTTCAGAATTTTATAAATTAATTTGATGGAAAGATAACTCCTCATTTTTTTTTTTGGTTTTATATATACATACATAATATTTTCTTTTCTTGTTTTTATTTTTAAATATAAGAAACAAGCATAATTGCGAAACTTTAGAATGAATTCTTTGTGGAAAAAAATTAAAACAGAATTATATGTTTTATGGAATTATCCTTTTTAATCTCTAGGAAGAAAAGATATTTCTAGCTTTAATTATATTGATTAGAATTGTAATGTAAAAATAAAAATAGCAGAAAGATATTCAAGTTTAAATTTTTAAGTAACCATTCGATAATATACAAATTTCGATGAATACAAGTACCTTTAATTAGGCTCTCGATTAAGGAAGATGAGCGTCTTCTCCCCTCCATAATGTCCAACTTTCTGCCAATCTTTTACAGCTTCGTGGTAATTTGGACAGAAACTAAACATTCAAACAGCATTTATCTTTCTTTGGCGAAAAATAAAATATTACATTGGCACATAAGTTCTGAGAGGTTTTTTTGAGCTGTAAGCAAGTTTGAGACTTTATATCTCGTGATTGAAAAGTGATAGAGGTCTGAAATTTTTAATGTAGATAAATCTCTATGACTTCTATCTACACTAAAAATTTCAGACCTCTATCACTTTCCAATCACGAGATATAAAGTCTCAAACTTGCTTACAGCACAAAAAAAACTCTCAGAACTTATGTGCCAATGTATTAAAAATATAAATAGACAATATTTTTTGTAAGGTGAATCAAATTAGCGCAGGGACGGTCTGATGGCACGTCGACTATTGTGGAAGAGGTCAGATCCCAGTGGGTTTCGTTCTTCCCTTTCTTCGTCACCACTTCTAGCACTGTAAGAATAAAAGCATTTTCTGCCGAATTTTTTAACCTTTCCCATTTCTAAAAAATATCAATAATCCTACTATTGTTATCGCCTATGAACATAACTACTAATATAAAAAAAGTCACCGGGTGAAAAACGAAAATTGAGAAGTACGGATTTTTCTTCTATAAGAGGTTTTTCTAAAAATCATCATATTCGAAAAAGTTTTTGAGTTTGTTAGATTCATAATAGACATCCAGTAAGTATTACTGAGAATACTTGATTCATTCATTCAATATTCGTGTAACTTTATGCTTTACATAAAATTCGTTGTTTGTAAACAATTAGTAATGGTCATGTTGAAATAATCAGTAGTTAAGGCAAATGATATATACATATGTCATCTCGTATTGAAATGAGCAAAGGAGAAGTAAAATCTATTGATAAGTTTTTTTTTTTTGTTAGAATTTCTCATTTTAACAATAAAATAAAAAAGATGAGATATAAATTAGTTAGATAAAATTAGTCTACATTCGTATTTTTTCATAGCTTGGCATTGCGAAAAAATTACAGCTGAAAACTTTAGATTGAGGACGATATACTCCGTTAATAATTTATATTACTCGGTAAACAGTTATTTCTGCTAAATTATTTCTCTATAATCGAACTACATTCGCTTGATTTAAAGTAAATCATAGTGTGAAAAGTCTTAGATTTATAATCAATAGCACAAATCAAGTGTGTGTAGAATCTTAGAGACAATCTATTGTATTTTGAATAATTCAATATATCACGTGAAAATTTATTTCACTTTTACTTCTTGAATAAAAGAAAGCTTTATCAGTACTAATCCAATGAAATATTCTATATGCTGCAGCAGGCATTATATTTATATAATATGTAGAAAAATAATATAAATTCAAATCAACAACTATAGCAATATTTGATAGTAAATGAAAAATAATATTTTTTTGTTGATGTTATATTAATTAAATTTTTTTATGATTACATCAAAGATCTATTTCATAATGAATAACAAAGTTGCCGTCAAATTTGACTTTTGATTTCAATCTATCTTCTATTGTTTCTATTTACACAGTAAAGATAATCATAATGCCATCAAGAAGATTCCATATATTTATATATCTAATGTATCACTCAAGATTTGCAAATTTAATTTTTTACAATGTAGATGATACGAAAGAAATTTTTTGAAAATTTTTATTTTTAAAACAATATTCGAATATTCTTATTTCTCTTTTCGATTAATAAAAGTTCATGAAATAAATAAAAATTGAGTGAATAGGAAACTATTATCAAAAGGAAAAAGACTATTCTAGATGATCTTATATTAGAGAATATGTCTTCAATAATGTGTGCCATACGATTTAATACTTAAGCCTTGAACGATGTTCATGTAATCATTCAAAAAAAAAAACTCATTCTTTCGCGTTGCAAACAACAGCCGGATATGGAATTATAACTTGAACGATGCGATATGAAGAAACGGATGGGTACTCGTGTTTTGACGCGATGCTACCAAAAATTGGTGACATTCATTTTTTGTATGAGTTCGGCAACGAGCTACAATATTGACGAAAAAGAATTAGCTTGTGTAACATACATTTAGCTGCATTGAATACTCGGTTTTTTTTTCTTTTTATCCTTGAGAAAAGATAAAAATAGAGAGACATAGAGAAAAAGGAAAACACCAACAGATTATTCTACTCGAACGATAAAAATGTCGTGATTGAATGAACAAGTAATACTTGTGAATGGCAACCTTATAAATTTATATGTTTATATACTACATATCTTGTAAATTGTCCGAATAGAAGACAGCTAAAACAACAAGCGGATCAAATTACTATTGATCATGCGACATATTGAAATATATTCAGAAGGGATGGTTGCACTTTTCTTCTATATTATTTGCAAAGTGCTTTGATGCTTGTAAACACATAAAAATCGTGATCATGTCATATATTTCTGTCAATCCATAATTAGTGTAAATTGTTGGAATTATATTATTATATTGTGTAAAAACTTGAAATCTGTTTTTTTTTATCTAAGAGCAAAGGAATAAAAGAAAAATTTAGTGAGAAAGAGAGTGAGAGAGAGAGAGAGAGAGAGAGAGATAGACGAAGAAACGAAGACTAGCTTAACTCGATTGCAACAATGTCTCATCGTCTTCGCCCGATATATCAGAGACATAAGCTAAAGATGGCTGAGCGGAAAAAGACGAGCGTGTGTGCGTGCGAACAAGCAGAAAAAATAAAGAAAGAAGACCAGTAACTCTGAACAGTAATCATTGAACATCATTCTTGTGTGCATCGCCTGATAGACGTGATTGTGCGACGACAATAACGGGAACGGCGACGAAAGAAAATAGTAGTAATAGTGATCTGCTGTTTTAGATAAAAAGATTGATAGATAGATAGATCGATCGATAAATGCGCGCACCGAGACAGAATGAGAGTGCAAGAACGAGCGGTAAAGACGAATACAAAGAATCAAAAAAGAAAACAGAACAATATATATCTAAGATGGATTATCTTTTCATTGATGTCATGGATTATTGAATAGTGAGTATGTGTTGAAGGATAGATTATTGACGATTAGAAAACAAATTGACAAATGATTGTTTGAGAAAGTTTTTATCATGTTTTTTTTTTTAACTAATGTTTCTTTTTCCTTTTTCTCTGTATTCTTTATAGGCCTCATTTTTTCTTTAATAAGAAGCATAAAAAAAATACAATGCAGCTTTACAATGGCTCCTGATGTTCTATCAACGTTTACATTCGAAACTATATTTATTTTATCAAGATCGATGTACGCGTCACGTCATGCCATCATAGAAACTTTAATTCTTGATCTATTTTATTTTTATCTGTTGCCTTGTTACCATCATCTCCTATTATTGCTATTATCATTTCGATGTTTGAACAGCTTTTTCTCCTGTTACAATACGGAACCAATCGTCTTTTGATCCTTTGTTTTATCATCGTGTGGCTATCAGCTACCTTCCCACATTCTCATTTTATTATGTGTTATTTTAATCGTTTATCAGGTATATCTATACTCATATTATATATAGATATAAAGATTTCGATGTTTAAGTTGAAATTGAGTTGTTTGTTTTCGAGAATAGAATTATGAAGAGAAAAAAAAACACACACACAGAATTATGATGTTTGAACCTTTAAGTATTCATAAAGAATTTTATCGACTATGCTGCAAATCTCAAGAGACTATATTGTTTTTTCCGTGATTTTTTAATTTAACTATATTGATCTAAAGAAATTTATACTAATAATCTAAATGAAATATGATAAAAACTAAAGACTCTCTATGATATTCGAATCAAAGAAACTATTGAATCGATTCGATTATCATTATTTAGTACATGAAAACAGTCACAAAAAAAAAGAAAAAGAAAGAACTAATTTATCTTCTATAAGATTGAAAATATTAAATGAAATGAAAATACATATATGTTATTCAATATTTTTAGAACTATAATTATAATATTCTAAATCATATTTAGATATTTATTTACAAAATAAAACATTTTATATTTCTAGCGATTTCACCGTCGTCAGAAGCTCAAATCGCGATTGGCGCCTTCTTTTCCTTACATAATCCTCCAGCATCACATGGTGGTGGTCGATTACGAGAATGGTAAATATGAATTATGAATTATTTGACGAAAACAAAACTAGATAATATTTAATCTTTAGTGGTGACATTCGTGAAGACTATGGTATTCATCGAGTAGAAGGCACATTTTGGATTCTTGATCAAAGTAGAAAAAATTCACTTGTTTTTGTGTTTTGAATTGATAATCATATTTTCTTCTTTTTTTTTTTTGTATAGTCAATTTAAATCAG